ACTCCTGTATAGAGATTTTTGTTCTTCTTACACAGATGTCAAAGGCAGAGCCCTGGTGAATTTCCAACAGTTAGTTACTGTGTTTGTATTTGCTAACCTAACTATTTGCAACTAACCCATTCTCCTTAAATACAACAAGCTTTGAGGTTAATGAATCCATGTTAGAACAGGAATACTATGGCATGGAATACTTATTTCTGGCCATATATGTTTATTCTCTACTCTATTATTTGACTTACATTATAAACCAAGTTTCAAACTCTTTATTCACATAGAGAAAAAAATATTGCAACTATTATTTCATTAGGTGCATGTACAGATTTAATTAAAATTGGAAATAACAAAACTGCTATTGTCTGTGTGATAACCACCTCTTATTTTCTAGTTTTACAAACAAATTCCAGAAGTTTAGGAGGGTAATTCTGGAAATCCAGTACAGAACTGGAAAAATTACAGAGATGGTGATATTAGGCCTATTTTATAGTAAGTCTGCTATAGGTAGTGTCATGGATCCATCATGACACAGTGAAAGAAAACACATGAAGAGTGCTGGAATACCTTTCTTGCCCATGAGATACCCACATAAACTAATGAAGGGGCAACATTCAATAAAGTAGAAAATAAACCTAATGGAAACAAACAGAAAAAGTTTTCTAACTCGACCCTCTATACCATACAACAAAAATCAATGAGTTAATGATGCCTTTTCTTACCCCCCCCCAGTAGAAAGCCACACTATCACAAGAGGCTAAATTTTAGTTCAGAACAAAGACTTGACACAGATAAAACACGGAGCACAAAGCACAGTCTTCCTTCAAGAGAAACACTGAAAATACTGCTAGGGAAATCTAAGAAACAATGTATTTTGGTGGGGTGCTCTGTATACAGCAGGGACTGGTCACCAAGGTAAATTATCTTTGCGACAGGAGTGCCTGAAGTACCAGAGAAGATACATTGTTGGTGTCTCTCCATTCAGGTCTGCCCCACTTGTTCTTTCTGTACTATAGCTGAACTTCCCATTTTATAGTCAGTATTAAAACAGTTACAGAATTGAACTCATAAACTTATTTTTTTCCTCCTAGTTCTGTCCAAAACTTAACTGTGATTCATGGATACAATTCCATCAACACTTGTTGAAACCTAAACTGACAGCTTGATTCCTAAACCTTTCCTGTAAAAGCAGTGGGAGCAGGGAAGCTGGAAAACTGTAACTGTCAAGATCTATGCAAAGACAGCAGGGCAACACACACCCATATAGGGCAAAAGTTGAAGACATACAGATCTCACAGAAGCCCAATGCAGCTAAAGAAAAGTAAGTTTTATAAGGGATGGAGTAACTGAAGTAATCACAAAATAAATGGTCTGACCCAGACAGCTGTTTTCTCTAACTGCCCTCCTGTTTTCTCTTTTTATCCATTTCCTGTTTCATGCTCTTAATTCAGGTTCAAATGAGGTGTATCTTCTCCATCTTTGCAAGCCTGATCTACTTCAGAGGGATTAGCAGCACCATGACATGTCTCCCCTGTTTTAAGAACACACTGTTCTGTTTTAGGAATGAAAGCCACTCTGCCTTGTTCCTGAGCAGACTTTGCCTGAACTGCAAACATCCTCTGTGTTGAACATGGCTTATTCAACCATATGGTAATTACTTATGAATTACCTACAAAGTAAATCTTTTGCTCTTTTCATCCTCAAATCTTTCTTTCCTGGTCTTTTTCAGTTCATAGAAACACTCCCATATATTTGGAGCCATCACTTCATGTGTTCCTCAGCCACCTGATGGAGATCTGCCACCCCCTTCATTTGCATGTTCTTTTAAGACACAAATATGTAGTGGTAGGACAAGGGGTAATGGGTTCAAACTTAAACAGGGGAAGTTTAGATTGGATATAAGGAGAAAATTCTTTCCTGTTAGGGTGGTGAGGCACTGGAATAGGTTGTCCAGGGTGGTTGTGAATGCTTCATCTCTGGCAGTGTTCAAGGCCAGGTTGGACAGAGCTTTGGGTGATATGGTTTAGTGTGAGGTGTCCCTGCCCATGGCAGGGGGGTTGGAACTTGATGATCTTAAGGTCCTTTCCAACCCTAACTATTCTATGATTCTATATAACTATACAGCACCTTGTACCAACAGTAAAATATTCCTCAACCTTCCCCTTGGCACAACAGCTGTTTGTCACATAAATTCTTCTAATTTGGCTCCACCACTAGATTTCAAACCTCTCTGGTTTGAGTGTGCCCTTCCAACCCCATTCCCCTTAAAGAGTGTGGAAAAACTAACATGTTTCCCTCAGGATTCCCCAGTTCTTACTGAGCAGCAGAATAGAGTCCTTCCTGTACTGTCTCTGCAGAAGGGCACTTCAGCCAAGTGTGTGTCTACTGAGGTATTTCTTTTCCTTCACTACATATCTCAGGTCTCAACTTTGCTAAAGTACGACGTCCAATTTTCAAACTATCTGTTCAGGAAGGCAATGGTAAATTAGAGAAAATATATATGTTTTACAAACCACAAGAATAGCTAAAGGATTAGAAAAACTCTAATACAGACACTTTGAGTTCCATCTAAGTATATCACATGGGAAATATTAGAAGATGTGTTCTGTGTGGCTCTTACTCCTCAGCTGGTATTAACTGCAGTGGCAAAAAGCTTACAGCTCAGAAAGGAAAGGATGGAAGCGGTCAACAAAAATCTTTGGCAACAACAGGTACTATTTGAATACCTAGTGTGAGGAATATAGGAATGATTTGTGTCAGCAACTTAGGAGTCCTTGTCATCATTGTACTTTGGGTGGAATCGAAAATCCTTGAAATCATTGTATCATGTGTAGCATGTATAAGAATGATCAGATTATGATAGATGTTCCTGTCAATACAGTGATGAAAGAGGAGAAGAAACAAAGGAATAATCCTTCCTAATCAAAGGCTTTGATAATTACAGGGGTACTTTGTTTAACTGCTTGAATGCCTTAAAGGGGGTTAGGTAATCAAGAGATACATCCTGTTACAGGATGAGGTGAAACTTGTGTATTGAATAAGTAACTATATAAGAAATGGAACTTAGGGGGCTAAGGTGATGGTTAATCTCGTGACAGACATCCCCCGTTAATATATTGCCAAGGAATCCAATAACTTTTTAAGAAGTTTTCTTCACCCAAAGGTAAGACCTCAGCAACAGGAGGAGAACAATGAAAAGGAACCACATCGATATTCAGGTGAAGGAGATGACAGGATTGGTTGAAACCCAAGACCAAGGAGTATAAGAGACTGTACCCCAGAAATCTCGGTGTGCATCTTGGGTGGAACGGAGACTCCCTGGCACACCCAGCACTGCTTGCTTATTGCCTCTTGACATTAATCAATTGTAATAAAAAATTAATTAAATCAGATCATGGCCAAGGTGGAATTTTTATAACACTAGCAAGGAGAGAGTCATTGGGTGAGGTCAGTTACTCTTGAGAAGTAGCAAATGAGGAAAACTGCTGTCACTGTTTCATTGCTGCATAGTGTGAGTGGTGCAATAGGCAAGCCTGTTGCAGAAAGAGTAGAAGCTTGCAGCTCCTGGTAGAATCCTCCTGGCTAGGAACAATCTTGTACTTCTGTCCCCAGAAGCTAATGCTGAGTCCACTTCAGCGTCAGTAAATAAAGGCCACATCAATATTCAGGTTTTAAGGAACAACTAGAGCAAAGCCCATCTTCCTGTGAAGAAATACAGGAGTAATGTAAAAGATCCTCATAAACCAAACTGGCAAAGTGATAAAATAAAAACCTAGATGTGGTAAGCCTTACTGTTTCCTCTGCTGGAGAGAAATAGAGTGTAAATGTTTTAACAACAGAGCTTATCAAGTTTTGGAGTAGCTGTTAGGAAATTCTCCACAAATTACAAGACGAGACAGCCTTCAGCCAAAAAAGAGCTGATTTTTGTATCAGGCAGGACTGAACTCAGACCTGTACAGTGATACCTTTTTTTTTTTTTTTTCTGTCCAGTTTGCCAGGCTGAGGAAGTTGACTGCCCTGATTACCATTGAGAGTGCAATCATAGAATAGTTAGGGTTGGAAAGGACTTTAAGATCATCCCTGTCATGGGCAGGGACACCTCACACTAAGCCATGGCACCCAAGGCTCTGTCCAGCCTGGTCTTGAACACTGCCAGGGATGGAGCATTCACAACCTCCCTGGGCAACCCATTCCAGTGCCTCACCACCCTTACAGTAAAGAACTTCTTCCTTATATCCAGTCTAAACTTTCCCTGTTTAAGTTTGAACCTGTTACCCCTTGTCCTGTCACTACAGTCCCTAGTGAATCATTCCACTCAAGAGTGGGACTACCATTCAGAAAGACCTGGACAAGCCAAAGGACTAGGGTTGACAGGAATGCCACTGAAGCCAAGGGAAAACATGAAGCCCTGTGTCTGGGGTGGGCTAAACAGTGCATGGGGGTAGAATCACGGAATGGTTTATGTTGGAAGGGACCTTAAAGCTCATCCAGCTCCAATCCCTCCACGGGTAGGGACACTTTCCACTATATCAGGTTGCTCTAAGCCCCTGTGTCCAACCTGGCCTTGAACACTGCCAGGGATGGGGCAGCCACAGCTTCTCTGGGCACCCTGTGCCAGCGCCCCAGCACCCTCACAGGGAAGATCTCGGGCTGCCAGGACACTTAAACACGATCCTGCATTGCACCCTGACAGGGCTAGTAGCTAACAGCATCGCAGTCAAGTGTTTACCAGTTTTTATCACTCAGAACTCGCTGAAAACCTTGAACATCCCATTATGGGCGCCCAAATAGAAGAAAGACTCATGAACCTGCTGAGCGCGCTCCTTGCAGCGGGAGCTGGGCCTGCAGCCTCCCTCCGTGCCGGTGACACCCAGGTCTATCCGGTTGCGGTGCCGCCTCGCCCCATACCACAGATCGCCTCAGAAGGCGGCTCGCGTCCAACGGCCGCGCCGCGCGCTTCCCGCCCTCCGCGCGGGCCCCGCCTCCGCTGACGCCCTCACTTCCTGAGGGCGGACGGGTGGAACATGGCGGCGGGCGGTTGGGGAAGGCGGAGGTTTCTTGTTGGTACCGTGCTGTTGCTCCTCTTCCCCGCAGGGCTGCTGGGTCCCGCCGCCGGCATCTCGTCCTTGCCCTGGGCGGGCAGCCCCGGCGAGCCGCGGAGCCGCGTGCAAGTGCTGGGCGGCTCCAACTGGAGCCTGGTGTTGCAGGGCCAGTGGATGTTGGAGTTGTGAGTAACGGCCGCTTCCCCCCCCCGGCAATGGGCTGGGAGGGGAGAAAGTGGGAGGAAGAGTCTGTATGGGGTGGTCGGCGTGGAGCCCGTCCCGGGGTGCATCGGTACGGACGGAGAGGGGCCGGGCGGTGCCGGCCTTCCTGTCCCGCTGAAGGGGGTGCGGGAGCGGCCGCGCTCCTTACCCGCCCCACGCAGTGGCAGGCCCGGGAGGGGTGTTGAGGGACACACGCAAGGATTCCTAATGGCTATGGTCCCCGCTTCCACCAAGCGTTGCGGGCCCTGGGCGTGCAGGCACACATTCACCTTACCTGAGATGATCGGGTGAAAGGAGCTTTCCCTCAGGTTCTCGTCCTGAGAGGGCGCAGTGCGCCCCAAGGTTAAACCGGGCGCGTTTCAGTGAGCTTATCGGCGGTGTTGTTCAAGGCAACTGGCTGTTAGGGAATAGTGCGGGCTCTACACCTTGCACTGCTTACATGTTTGGGACTTTTGCTGGGTTCTGTGCAAGAGAGGAAGGCTGAATTTGGTAGGTAATATTTAGTAGGGGCAGGCTTCTGAATTGTGTGTGTTACACAACACCCTGGTACCCTCACTGCTGGCTGCATTGGTCTGGAAGAGATCTGTCTCTTCAAGAGAGATGCATCAGATTTCATTAACTTCTCAGTGCTGATGTTGCTTTATTCTGGTGACAGATAGAAAGGTTTGCCTATTGCTGGCTGGGGGTTTCACAAAATCGTAAATCAGCTAGGTTGGAAAAGATCTTCAAGACCATCAGGTCCAACCATCACCCTAGTACTGCCAAGTTTACCACTAAACCATGTCACTGAGGGCCTCATCTACATGTTTAAGTGCTTCTGACTAACTATAGTGTCACCACCTGCTTATGTTCAGAAGAGGGGAAAGGAACTTGAGTGTTGTTTAAAGATAGCAGTTAAAAAAGTAGTTTAAGTAGGCCGTATGCTCACATGATATCTGTGTGCTGTGCAGTTATGAAATAGGATTTTATTGGGGTGTGTGTGTTGCTGTTTGTGGAAGTGCCGGAGTTTGAAACCGAGTTGCCCATCAACCTCTGAGCTTGTGTTCTTTCATAAATACTTATCCAGCTGCTTTAAGTTTTCTTTTAGTATTGGATTTGAGTTATCCAGCCTCTCATTTGGGGGAGGAACTGTCACTTCCCCTAGGGCTTTACTGCTCAGTATCCTACTGGACACTTGGTATTAATCAGTGAATAGATGAGAATAATCCTGAAATAGTTGATTGAGGCACCCAGGCATCCTCAGTGTTGTGGCTAAGGATTTGGATTTGATGTTGAGTACCTTTTTCCCCTTTTAATTTGTTGTGTTATAAAAAGTGGGAGAAGAGATGATCTTGGAGTGGGAGAAGATAAATTTATTTTGTAAATTGAACTTTTTCCACTTCTGACATCCTAGTCCTGTGTGCAAGCTGTGGTTTGAAAGTTACTGATTCATACACGCGTTGGTGAGTCTTAAGGAGGAGAAAGTTTACTCATGGTGATTCAGAGCTCTTCTTTCTAAGGGAAAATACTTAAATAATTAGCAGTGCATGCCTCTGAGGAAGAAAGAGGAGAGGAACTGACTGAAATCAGCATGGTTGGGATAGTGAAAGTTGAAATCCTGTGAGTCTTTACTTCACTTGTGAGTCTTCACTGTGGTTTGGAGTGACAGGTAGCTGACAATAGCAACAGAGGCGAAGTTAGCTTTAGTGCTAGCAGAATATGGTACATGTTGCTGCATTGCTTGAAATAGGCTTATTTTTATGTAGAGTGTTTGATGTGTGAAAGATCCTTGGTTCTCCATGCTGCTTTCGTTGGTACAATTCTAACGGTTTCTGCTTTTCTTCCAAATGAGAAAGAACTGTTGCTTTTATTGTGGGTGATAACTCAATGCTGCTGTTCTGTTAGTGAGAGTTTGAGATTTCTAATTGTGTCTAAAAAGGCTTGAAGCCTTCTTGCCCTGGTAGGAATGGGTGCTACTACTTCTGTTTGATGTGATGCTTTGGATTTGTGAAAATAGCGTAGATACATTAAAGCATGCCACCGCTTTGTTGTTGTTCTCAGGTGCACAAAGAGAGAAACTTAAGTCTGAAATTACTTGCCTGTGGGATTTGTAGTCTAAATGGGACTTTTCTTCCTTCATCCCTCCTAGCTGACTAGTCTGAAAGTATTTAGTTATTCATAGCTGACAAAATCGTAGGCACTGGAAGCACTGCTGCATTTCATTGATAAGAACATCTGCATCACTTTGTGTTCCTGAAAGATATTGCAGCACTTTTTACTTACTGTTACTATCTCGGCACACAGATCCTCGCTGAAGTGCTGTGAGTGTGATGCTGGAACAAACCGTTTCAAAAGGTTTCCTTATTGGCTTGTTTCTAGTCTGTAGCTGCAAGATAATGATTTGTTAATGTGAGGAGTTTTTCTTTTGTCTTTCATATTGTGCCTGTCAGGAATAGAGAAATTTCTGATCTGTTTATTTAAAAGTGCATTTTGCATTTGGACACATAGCTTGCTCCAAGCTTGATTTGTCTTAATTTAACAGTAGATTCAGACAGACAACCCCCTCAACAATAAACTTGTAGGCTTTCTGCCTATAGTTACAAATGAAACTAATATGCTTCTGTTGCACCTGCAGTACATCAGGGAAAACTCTAGCTTAGTTTCCACATAGGGTGTTAAATGCTTTGGTTCCTGCTTGTTTCAGTACAAAGTTTAGGGCTTTGTATATCTAAAAAATAATGTTTTAATCTTCTATTTTAATTCTAGCCAGGTGAAAATTGGGAGAATAGTGTAAGTAGTAGTAATGTTTTCAGGCTAGTTTATCATACCTAATTTATAGGGCTATAGTTTATTTTCTCATTGTCATTTATTGTTAAACATTCTGTTTAATAAGCCGGATTATCATAAGGGTTCAGTCCTCCCACTATCATTTTTGTCTCCAGTTTTAAGGGAGTGTGCTGCAAATCTAGCTATATGTTTTGGTATTTAGATGTTTCAAGCCATTTGTTTAAAAGCATTAAACCACTTTAAAACTCCTGAATAATACTAAAAATGATTTATGGTCACTGTAACTTAGTTGGAGAGTTCAGCAAGATTGGGAATTTTCTGTCACCTGTGACAGTATAGTCTCTTACTCATTCTCAATTTGTTAATATCCAGGCTTCTCTTTGTCCTATCCCCAAAAAAACCCAAACCAAAACCACTGCTACACAACTAAGAAGTAGAGGGATGAAAAATGAAGTTACCAAAGCTCTGGTTCTGAAGCTCTTGCAGCCCTCTTGACTGGGATCAGAGGAAGTGACCAAATTATCTATGGACTCTTATTTAATAACTGAACATGAGGCTCATGACTGTGCTGTGCATTGCCTGAACAGCAGCTGATACAATGTGAAACTGAAATATCCTGGTAGCAGATGCCCTACTATTATAGAAGGGGACAAAACTATGTAGAATGACGGAACTTAATCTGCTGAAGTCCTAGAAGATTCCACATAATTTTTCAGTGATTGATTTGCTTTCTGATTTAAAAATAATTTTTCCATCTTTAAAAAATCCCCAAAAGGTTGTGAATGGAAAGTTGTTGGGGTCTTTTTTTGAATTGCAGATGCTATTCTTGTCTTTTTCTTGGTTTTGAAACTAGAGAGCTGAATGATTATGATATACCCCGCTTTGCTTCTCATCCTGTTCTTGGAAGTTTAAAATGCATTTCATTACTGAGCTGTTGAACAAGTGGAAATAGCAGTTGAAATGTTAACTTGGAGAATGTGCTTTGGCTTGTAGTTCATCACAGCACTATTCATGATGTTGAGTTTGCATCCTGAAACAACTTCCCTAGAGTGGTGCCTTGGTGTGTTGTCATTTCAGTGGGCTCAGCCATGATCTAAGGCATGTGAGTGAAGCTTGGCTGGAGAATCCAGGGAAGAAACCTCCTTTGTTTGCTGTTTGAGGTAGCTGGGCATTTGGCCGTTTGGAGCAGCTGGTTTTGCGTTGTGAGATCTTGCCTGGCTGTTTTGGAAGGGTTTTGGCACACTGGAGAAAGCTTCTTGTCAGCTTCCAGAGCATGTATTATTGTGGCGCAGGTCTTGGTAGATTACAGGGACTGACTTTTGTATCTTTGGTAGCACCTGCTCGCTCAAAAACTAGATTAAAACCATACAGTTGACCTTCTGAAGCTTATTGTTTGTTGAAATTAAAAAGCTGCCTATCCTTCCTCAAGACCTATATGTATTTAGGAACAAGGAGGGATCAAATGATAGGCTTAAGGTAACACCCAAAGACAAAAGGCACTGTTGTTTTTTTCTTTGTATGCTTATGAAATCTATAGCAATAAGGCAAAGCTACTTAAAAGACTAAAAGTAGTAATTATTCCATGCTGATACTGCTTTTAGCAGTTTATTAGGTACTGTCTCCACATTTGAACCTTGAATTTTAATAGTACTCAGAATCTGAAACCCAGCGAATAGCTTGGTTTCCAGTAAGTTATGTGTCTTGAATCAAGAAAAACTAGACTAAATGAGGAAACTTTCCTTTTGCCTAAGTTGCTGTTTTCTCTTCAGCAACTCCTCTCCTGCTTGTACCCACAACCTGCTTTTTCCTTTATTCCTGGTTTCTTGCAACTTTGTGGAATTGTGGAGAGTAGACAGTGAGGATATTTCAATTGTAAAACTTTGTGCTACGTAAGAAGTCTGGTAATGCCACAGATGTGTTTTGAGAAATGTGCTTTACCCGCCTGCAGTGAATAACTTGGCTATGTGTAATTTACAGTTATGTGGTCTTTTCAATCTGATTTTTACATGTGGAGTTCAGTAAATCGCTTTTTAATGTGCAACAGGCTACTGAAAATTCCTTAACCAGGTGCTCAGGTCTTGATTTAAATTCCAAAGGACTTTGATTTTTAAATTGAAAACACTTGACTCATGTTTATTTGGCACATTTGTAGGGCACAGTGAAAACAAGTTAATGCCTAAAGGTACCCCCTTGTGCAAAGGGAGAAGCTGGAGCAACAGCCCCCAGATTTGGTGGTGTTGACAAGGTGCTAATTATGTCTTTGTGTGTCTGTGGAGTAGGGTCTGAGAAATTTGGTTACATCTGCTTTTGTAAGTGACCTGGTCTTGCATCTTGTGACTTGATGAAAAATAATGCAGACTGGTTTCACAGCACACACACGGATCTGCTTTTCTACTTCTACAGATTTTTTTCTGGGGAGTGTAAGAATGATAGTTATACAATGACTCCTGGAGTAATATGAATCAGCCACAGTTCTAAAGGATTCATTAGAAGCCTACTTTGAAATAAAGTACCTCCTTAGGCTTCAGTTCTTCAGGGTGCAGAAAGCTTTTGGAACCTTTTGATAAAGGTGACCTAAGTGTTTCACTCTTCCATAACTTACTGAAAGAAAGGTTTGAAGACTGGGAGACACAATAAGGCGGTAGTGGATTCCTTAGTGCTTCAAGTGCTGCATAACAAATGCAAGACATTAAAGCCTCAGGAAAGTGAGAATATCAAAGTAAACAGTGATAACTCTTGAAAAATCTGGTATCTATTGTATGTTCTCTCTTGTGTATGTGTAGGGACAGGCTGGCAAAATTCACATGTAACTTCAGGAATGTAAAGTAAATATTTTAATCCTGATTGCCTCTGCCAGTGTTCAGCATGAGTGGATGGATCTTGTCACATCAGATGTGACTGTTGCCATCCCATATCCAGTGCTGGTAATACAAACTAGGAAGCCAGCGACTGAGTCTGCTTGTGAAGTTTGCTGTTATGTTCAGTGACAACCAAACTGTGAAATAGGTGAATTTTAATGCTGCTTTGAGCTAAACAAAATATTATAATTACATTAATATCAGCCATGTATAATGAATATTCCACTTGATTTCAGTTAGGAGAAATGCTCATGAATGTCAAGTGTAAATGTTGATAGGGCCCAAATTTCTGTTTCAGCATCAGGTAGTGCCTTAAACAGGCTAATGAGTGTATTAATCATGAAAATCTCATGGTGTGAGTTTGGTGCATTTAGAGAAGCTGCATTTAGAAACCATTCCAACTTCATTCTTTAATTTTAGAGCGACATCAGCAGCATTATCTGATGGATGTATGCAGCTTCGTACTTACCAGTCAAGCTACTGTCATGAAATAATACTGGTTTAAAACTACAGTGTCTGTGAAACTATTAACTAAAAGCCCTCTATAGGCTGGCAGCACAATGCCAAACAGCACTGCACGTGAAACTTGTGTCCAGCATCTTTTTAAAAGATACCAAGGGTCTGTTTCTTGGCAGGAAAAGATTTATATACTTTTTTTGGATGTTCTTGCACAGAATTATGTTGATTCAAAGAATCAAGGTATTTGCTTTCATGCTTAGAGTCATAAATTTCTAGTACAGTTAAATACTACCTGTATTTTTAAGTTGTATCCTTTTAAATTCCAAATGTCACAATTTCCTTTTTTAAATACTGAGGTTTCAAAACTGCCATGAGATAATCAGAATAAGTTTGATTCTATCTCTTCTGTTTGGAATTACGTGGTTTAAGTTCAGTCTTATTAACGTGAAACATCTTCAGTTGGCTGGGGAGATCTCTGTCCACAGCCACTACCAAAGTAATCATTCCTGATCAGAAGAGAGCCAGAGAATAGGAACTGCTGTTCTTTAGGTCAGACAGTAGGAGTGGCAGAGAAACTGAAGAAGTAAGGGAGTTCCTTCTAGAGGTCCCAGTTAGACTGTAGTAGTTACGTGGCTGACAAGGATATTGGACTCTGCCCATGAAGAAATTTGTTTCTGTTGCTAACAATGGATGAGGAGTATGGTAGCATCTATGAATTACTGTGAGAAGTAGTGTGTCTCTAGACCCACAACTTTTGCTACCAGAAATCTGCATATATGCATTTCCACCTCCACCAGCCAAGTACATTAAATTACATCATGTAAAGGTATCTTTTAATTTGTAAAAGAATAAGCCTGTGTATGGTCAATTGCCATGGCTCAGTTACATGCTATATCTAGCTGTTCTATGTTACCTTAATTGCATATATGCTAGACCATTGCCAGCTGCACAAGTTTGACACAGATTTTGTCAACCAGGTTATGGTAAAATACATGTAGATGGCAAATAGGGGGTTATCAGCATTTAAGGATTATCTGATACTATCCTTTCATTTTACCTGTTCTGTCTCTGTGTTGATACTATCAGTAACAGCTGCCAACTTAGTTTGGTTATTCCAATCGGTAGTACAGAAAACTCAGCTCTTGAAAAATGCTTTTTTATTTTGCTGAAATTAATCCTCTGGGAAAACAAGACTTGAGAAGGACATGCGGTCTGAGCAGTAGGAATTTGATATGCACTCCTTTTAAATATCAAAACATGCTGTCAGAAAGTGAATGTTTGGGTATAGTGAGTAGTGGGCTAAGGCAAATGTAATTTCTAGAAGTTCTGAGATGCAGGAAGTCATGCAAAGTGTTACAGTGAAGGATACTGCTTCAGAGGACAGTCTGGCTTCAGTAATTCAGATAGCTCCCATGGAAATGGATTTATTTCATATGCAAATAGAATATATCACAAATGGTGTGGGCCTTGGATGTGAATTTCTCAAATCTGTGGAGATCTGGCTTTGTTTTAATAACATGAGTAGGAACATAGAGATTGATAAAAAACCTACCTGATTGTCTTTGTAGACTTGAAGAAAAATGCTATTTTTTTTTTTGTGATTGATACATATTTAATATATATTTAATCTGTCTTCCCTCTCCAGCTATGCTCCTTGGTGTTCAGCTTGTCGACAGATTGAGTTGACATGGGAGAATTTTGCAAGGGAAAGCGAACATCTAGATATCACTGTTGGAAAGGTGGATGTCACTCAAGAACCAGGTAGAGTATGAAACACTTTTAATGAAAGGGATTATTTACTGTAAGTACCACTTAGTATCTTGGGGTGTGCTTTCTTTTACTGGAATACCTGGGATACCAGCCAAGTCAGAAAAGAGGTTTCTAAATCAAAGTAATGTTACCTACATTTTGTTTCTCCATAGAGTTCATACCTGTGAGTCGAAGTTTATAAACTCGAAGGATTAATGAACTAGGGGAGTTATCTGGCTTAATACTATATTAAAAGAGGCTTATTCTCTATTTTAATCTACTTCACTGAAAGCTGTTGCCCATCTCATTCCTCTCTCCAAGCTGTCCACACAAGAATCTAGTTCTGTAGCCTCCAGTTACAGAGAGTTTCAGGGTGTGGTAACATTACCACAGGGTGAGCCTGCTTTAATAAGTTCTTAACTGTTTCCATGATGGTGCTGGATGATAGTCTCGTTTCATTTTAGTAGTGCTTTAAAGGAGATATCGCTGTTGTTTTGTGTTGGTGATGCACATCTGCAAATGTGTTTCTAAAAGGGGTTTCCCAACTGTCCACTGAAACGTGAATACAATCTTGTTTATTCCCTTAGTGATGCCCTCCAAAGTTCTGAACATGTTTGTGTAAGCAGTACCAATATTGTTTAAACCTCTGCATCTCTTGGGAGTGCTTCATGCTTGTTTTGGCTTTGAAGGGATAAAAGATTTTATTGGCAGTATGAAAAGACTGATGGGGTTAGGCAGAGATATTACTAGAATTAAAAGGCTAAGCTTTACTGATTTTTTTTTTACTTTTAACCATTAAAAGTGTGTGGAAAACATGTCCATTTTATTAGTTGAAAACACACTGAACAAGTGAGCTTTGTCAAATTAACAGCAGGGAAATTACTTAAATTCTGGTCTCAGATACAGCAATTGAATTTCACAAGAAAATGACAGCTGCTCTAGCCCTTGTATGGGTTACTGATTTGTTAAAAGTTTAGAAGTATAGAAAACCTTACGCCAAAAAGCTCCTGATGTGGGGCTCTCCTTTAGTGTGTATATTAATTTTTAACTGTATATTAAACATGCATTTAAATATTATTTTTTTCATAGATGTAAATTTAAAGCCAACTCCTTCACATTAACAAGCTAATGATTACTCTGGAGTTAAGGCTGCAGATTGGGTTTCGTTATAATCCTATCCTGTTTTCTCCCAATTAGACAGGGATTCTTTTGCTTATACAGTATTCAAATAAAAGGATTTCCATCTTGATAGTGGATTTGGTTATGACTGACTTAAAAATGCACTTTAAGAATTGAGGCTCTAAAAATAAAATACTTAAGGTCTCAAATTTTTCTTCCTGGTAAAAAAAACTTGAATGGTTGTGTTGGGATCTCAAGGGGTCACGTAGTTGATGCTTTCTTTTGGCCTGAATTTCTCCGACTGCTGAGTGATGCCAGGTTCTTAAGACCTTAAATGTGACTTTAAACCAGAAGTTCTTTAAATATTTGAATTTCAAATTGCTGAGAGGATTGACCTCTGAGAATGTTTGACTTCTGCAAGTCAAAGGACTGACCCAAACTGATGAATTTGTATCAAAGCATGTCTAATATGCCTGAAATATCCAGGTCAGCACAAAGCATGAAAACTGCAGCCTCTTCTAAAACTAACGAAAACCCGAACTGGAAAACAGAGATTTATTACGTATTTAACCTTTGGTGCTGATGTAATTTTGAAGATGCATGAGCTCCTTTGGAAGCTTCACAAAGTTATTGAGGTATTTTTACAATAGGCTTATGCTTCAGCCTTTCAGTTGGTGTGCTTAAGGGCTTTATCTCTTGTTCTTGCTTGCTCAATGGTACCTTAATTAGCTTTAGTTATATAACCCTTCATCAAATTGAAAGTAGTAAGAAATGCATTAAATGAGAGGAAAACCACTAGATGAGTGCAGAGGTGCATAAAATTACACTTCCAAAACCTGCAGGAGAAAGGAGCCATTCATAGTGCTTAATTACAGCAGATGCCCAAATACTAAGCCCACCAGAGCTTTAATGGATTCACAGCATATTTCAGTTGCTTGATGTCTTAGTGCTTAGTGTTTCCTTTTTTTTCTATTGAAACACTCAGTATTTCACCATAAAGTAATGGAGATGCTTCCCGATCTCAAAGTTCTGTATATTTGTGGAGTCTTCTTTAAAGTTTCAAATCCCAATATTTAGCTGTTAAAACAAGACTTCTTGCATCTTCTGTAATCTTCTTTGAGTAGTTATTGGATAAAAGCAGCTGTATTTTTAGATGACATCTGTGTTCTCTGTGTATTTTAGGGTGTGCGTGTGCAAATACTGAAGGTTTTCTCCTGTTCTTGAGTAGCTGTTAACTTCATAGTGGGTGCATGTCGGTGTTTGATTTGCAAGCAAAGACAGATGCTTAATTGTATTTCAAGTTAACTACCCAGTTCAAGTTTGTATTAAGCACACACAAGACCAGTTTACTGTCCGTTCTTAGCCTTTGTAGCTGGCTGCTCACCACTGATTTTACTGATCAAAGGATCTACCTTAGATAAGCAACAAACCTCCAACTAAAATTTGGGGGGGTGGTTAGATGCATTTTGGCAAAAAGATTTTTCTCTTTTATAGATGTCATTATTTATTCATTAGGGACTGTAGTGATAGGACAAGGGGTAACAGGTTCAAACTGAAACAGGGGAAGTTTAGATTGGATATAAGGAGGAAATTCTTTCCTTTAAGGGTGGTGAGGCACTGGAATGGGTTGTCCAGGGAGGTTGTGAAAGCTCCATCCCTGGCAGTGTTCAAGGCCAGGTTGGACGAAGCCTTGGGTGACATGGTTTAGTGTGAGGTGTCCCTGCCTATGGCGGGGGGGTTCGAACTTGATAATCTTAAGGCCCTTTCCAACCCTAACTATTCTATGATTCTATGATTCTGAGACTGTTGATAGTAGCTTTAGATGAGGCTACTGATAAGAGAGCTAGTTTCCTATTTGCCTGACTAGCATTTGTAAGAGTTTCAGAGACTCTTTTCCGTGTTCCTGTGACTTTCTCTGCTCTTAAGCTCATTATGTTCTTTATGGCTCTCCACCTAGGTTTCTCTTGTGCAGCTGTGCTGTCTGCTTGATTAATTCTACTGTACACTTGTCTTCTTGTTTACTTTATACCTCCCAGTGCTGGCACAGCTTTTAACTGGTTTATAGTTTTCCACTACCCTGCCTGTCATAGCAATAAAGGCAGAAAGCTGAAAAGTTGAAATGAAGATGGCTTCCTTTTTGGAACCTTAAAGGTGCTTGTACTTGGTTTGATTTAAACATCTTAGAAAAAATCCTATTGACCAACCCAAACAACAGCAACAACAAAAAACCCAGCCCACAACCATTTTTGGCTTGTTCCATGAGGGAATTCACACTAGGAAAAACATTACTACTGCAACTTCTGAATGTACTTGGCTTAGTTCAGTCTGGCTCATGTTTGTCTCTAAAGGCAGAAACTCTCTTGCTACAATCCTTTTTCCGTAGCTTATTCCTTGTGCCAAAAGATGTTTGCTTTATTGAAAGCCAAATTAGGACTTAATTTCCCAAAAGACTTTCACAGAACTTTATAAAAAGAAAAGTTAAATAACTGATTTGTACTCTTCACTTTGATACTTTATATGAATGGCAGTTGCTGGCTAAAGGTATTTAGCCCTTACTAATGGAGTTAGACTCTCTATCTAGGGGTTATAATCTCTGAAGTACTCCCCCCCCCCAATAAACTCCATTAGTAGCACATTTTTCATTCCTGCAGTCTTTAAATTGGATGTGTTGAATAATAAATGGTATTATAAAGCACTTGTAAGTGTGTGTGTTCTTCCTCTCACTTGCATGTTTTCTAATTGGTAGGAGGTGGTAGTGTCAAGTAGCCCTGACTTTCTTCAGATTTGGAAGCAGAGTGGAGAGAATATCTTCAGCTGACAGCTTAGCTAGTGGAGTCGTACAGCCAGCCTGCTTGTGGGATGTTAGGGAGCTTTTTGCTTTACAGCTGAGCCATGTGCTGGGAGATCTTCACTAGTGTACTTAATGCAGCGGTGAAGCTGGAAGCACTTGCACCTATTACTGTGTAGCAATACTGACTGCAAGGCTGGAGAACTTCAAACACCTTCTGCCCCTCAAGCTGCTTTTAGCTGATTTGGCTTGGTCTGTGCTATGAGTTAGGTTGTCACTCTCTAGCAATACTTGTAAAAAGATTACTATGTATTTGCCAGTTAGTGAAACAGTCGCTTTCAGTGTGGGGATTAATTCTAGGTAGCCTCTTGAAGCCCTACTTCAACCTTCCCTTACCCTTTCTGCTGTCTTATGTCTGATGCTCAAAATGCTGGCATGATCTGGTATCTGAAAAGGGCCTACAAGGATGCTAGAGAGGGTCTCTTCATCAGGGACTGTAGTGATAGGATAAGGGTTAATGGGTGCAACCTAAAACAGGGGATGTTCAGGTTAGATATAAGGGAGAAATTCTTTACTGTGAAGGTGGTAAGGCACTGGCACAGATTGCCCAGAGAAGTGGTAAATGCTCCATCCCTGGCAGTGTTCATGGCCAGGTTGGACAGAGCCTTTGGCAACACGGTCCTATTGTGAGGCATCCCTGCCCATGGCAGGGGGTTGGAACTGGATGATCTTAAGGTCCTTTCCAACCCAAACCATTCTATGATTCTGTGACCCACCCTTCTGGATGGTGCAAAAATGACTCTGTCTTAAGTTAGCAGTATTCTACGGAATACCAAGACATCTGAAGCTTTATTGTTGATCTGTTTGCATACCATTTCTATTTAGCTAGAGAGGAATGATATATACAAAGGAAGGATAAGAACCTAGAAATATCCAAAATGTTCTCTAGCTACAGTCATGTTTATGAAAGAGATTGAGCCTTCTTACAGGGCATGACTGGTTATGCAGTATGCAGGGATCATTTGGAAGTAATAACTTCTAGTCAGGTAGAGGATGAATTGTAAGTCATTATTAGTGTCATCTTCTATTGTGGTCTCGCTTTCTAGATGAAACAAAGGTCATATGAATGAGACTATGCACAGACACAAGCACACAGGGCCTGGAATTACGGGTGTATTAGTATGGTTCTTCTTTGTCTTGGTTGGAGGGGCACACTGCTGGTCTGGTCAGCAACTTCAGCTGTGTGCTGACAGCAGTTTAAGAAATCTGTGTAGAAAAATTACTTTGCAGTAAACATTCTTCAAGATCAGCATTTTACCTTAATTTGTTGGTGGTATTTGGTGTCTGTTACAGTTTGTAGTGTTTCTGAAGACAAACTGTTAACCTATATTTCCAAAAGAATGGTAAAAGCTATGCAGTCTGCTGCTTTCTAATCTACAAATACAGATTTGTAGGTATTTATAGATAAGTCAGAATGCTGAGAAATTTCAGATTTATCTAACCATTTGATGTGGTTTTTTGTTCTCTTTCTAGGCTTGAGTGGTCGTTTCTTTATCACAACACTTCCTACAATTTACCAGTAAGTGTGTCATACTAGAAACAGTTGCCTGTTTCCGTATGTATTTTTTCCTGTCCTGTTTGAACAGTGGCATGGAAGATGAACAACTGGCTTATTTCACTTCTGTCAATCTCTAAAGCATTCTTAGGAACTCAGTGCACTTAATGAACAGAAAGGTTGTACTTTTAACTTAAGATGCAAGGTTTTCCTACAAACAGTTTTGTACCTGAAGTGATGCTTTTTCAGTCTGAAAACAGTACTTGGCATCAGTTGTAGAAGCTGCTGCAGGTTTGCAGCATTGCCTTCTAGAAACCTGACAATATGTGAGCAGACATACTTGACCTTATCGAAGTGTCACTAAAATCTCTCATTTGAATAAGTGACTACATAGGTTGCATGTAAAACAGTACAGAAATTTTCCACTCTTGTGCTGCTTCTGTTACTGCTTTGAATCCTTCATCTGTTGACTCAGTACCAGTATGTAGCTATTGCCTCCTTCTTGTCACTTGAAGTGAAAATGAAGGAATACTGACTTTTTATTTCAGTTCAGGTTATTGCAGGAGTTTTGATTTTATGATAAAGTCCTCATCTGAGACTTTTCTTTAGTTTATTGTGTTCTCTGTTATCAATACTGTTAAAAAAGTTGTTTGCTGTATCTCTTCTTCAATAAGATGTCATCCTTTAAACATTGAACCATTAATTAAATCATGGTATTCTAAGTTGTGTCTAGAAATGGTTTGGTTGTCAACCTTACACTTTGTATTTACTGTAGCATGGGTAAATATTTAAGAAAAAGAGCAGTTTTAATAAATGGCAAAAGGCTCATGCTGCTTAGAAACAGACTTTCAGCATGAATTTCATTTTCAAAGCATACTGAAAATGCTTAGGTGTTCAACTTTGAGCAAGTCAAATCTATAGGTAATGTATATGGGGATTTTGGGGTGGTTTTGTTTTGGGTTTGTTTTTTTTTACCATGGATTCAGTTTAAGAGATATCTCCATTAATGCCTGTTTCTGGTTTTTCAGTGCCAATGATGGAGTATTTCGCAGATACAGAGGCTCACGGACATTGGAAGATCTTCAAGGTTATGTTTTAGAGAGAAAATGGGAAGCTGTGGAGCCTGTGGCAGGATGGAAATCTCCATCTTCTATAATGTAACGCTTTGTTTTTATTAACAAGAAACATGGTTTATAGCTCATTATTCATTCAGGGTGCTATGTTGACAGCTTATAGACAAAAGGCCTTTATTCCCTAGACACGTAGGCTCTGCAGAAGCAATCTGTATTGACAGCCTACTTTTCAGTTTCCTACCTTTTAAAAGCAGTTTATTTTCTACATTTGCTTTTGTTCATGCCTGCTAAGGCTTATTTATATCATCTTTGGAAATAAATATAGGAAGAAAGTTCAGCCACTGCGCATTATGTGTGAGTTTTGATATCTGCTGAGTACTGGAATTAAATGCATGTTTGTGTAGATTATTACTTCAGGACTTGTGGCTATTTGGGGCAGGCAGCCTTTAGCTTGAAGGATATTTTTGTTTATTTGTGTACAAGGAAATCCTGTGTCCTCCTTTGAAATAAGAAACAGTGGAGTGCTTACGCTGAGAATTTGTTTTCAGAGCATTGGATTTGCTTTGGAATAGCATAGAATGCCTCCATGAGATAAAGGGTGAACTAAAGATGTGAGTGGCCTGAATTTCATTCTAGTTAAAGCTATTATGTTTAAACCCCTGTCAAAGATCCAGTGAATGCACTTATTTTTCATCTGAGAATGAGGAAGAGCCACAAGATATTCAGTAATGGGGAGAGGAGCTACAGGGCTGCGTGCTGCTGTGAAATGGGGAAGAGGCAGTTATGACTGCACAGGATTAAGCATTGGAAATGCGATTTCTTGATTATGTTATTGTTATTTTTCATGTCCTTGCTGCAGTGTTTTGCAGTGAGCTGGCTTAAATGAACATAATGCAGAGAAAATGTGTGTTTGCAGTAGCCTTCACCTGACAATTACTGGGGCCTGAATGGCATTGAAAGTCTATAGAATCTTTTTTGTCGTCCCCCCCAGTCTCAATTCCTGTGTCTCTTAGAACCTCTTCCTTCTATTTCTTTGTTTTCTAGGATGCATGGCATGGCAGGGCTATTTCACCTCTCCGATTATATCAGGGTAAGTAACTGTGTGGTAGTGTTTTCCATCCTCCCTTAAGATAATAATCTGTTTAGAAGTCAAAACCTAACTGAATATTTTTATTATCCTGTTATGAGACTTAAATTTTCCTTAAGTGGCCTGTACATTGGCTGTATCATATCTTTGCTCTAGAATTCTGCAGTACTAATAGACTAAGTCAAAAATAGCAGTTTGATTATAAACATTATTAATACTGAAAATACTTACTGTTCTTATCTTGGTATAGTTAAAATGTCCTATCAAAGTGTGCTAACAGGATAAAGTAGCTTTTTGAGAGCTGCTGCAAAAATGGCTGTAAACTACAGGAATATATTTAGTATCTAGCAGGTTCTTTCACTTAATACTCTTCCTAAAGACTATACCCAGGTTAATTTTGAGAGTTGTAAATCATGCTCTTCTGCAGTTTGTTTGCATCTGGTGTAATGCACAGGGGAAGAGAGGGTAATGGTTTTATTATTTTAGCAAGAATTTCTGCATCTGAATTTCAAACTTGATGCCATTTGCATAGGAACACCACAAAACTGGACAGTAATTATCAGCAGTAAAGGAGAAATTCTTAACATACCCTGAAGTATGCTTGGAACTTAAACATGTTTCAAGATACTTTAATTTGGGAGCTATTAAAGGTTTACCTGTAGCATGCAAATACTGAGAATTCTCAGACCTTCCCAGTTTTGGTACTGTTCTTCCTCAGGATCTTCAAGTCTAGCCAAGATTGGGGAGTGTATTTGACTTTAGTATTGTAACGTGCTACAAGAAATCAATATAGTAGAGTTTGAACAGAGTTTGTATTCCTTCTAGTGAGTGTTTTACCCGGAGTCAAACAAAAGTTTCAGTTGTTAGGTTTCCTGTGCAAGCTATCTTTCATTCTTCCTTTCACTGGATAATACTAACTTTTCATAGCCTTCTGGCATTTCTCTGCCGTGGTTGCTGTGTAATGATGTTGTCTCTGTCTAGTTTCCTCCCTGAAAGATTAAATGCTCTGGGAAGAAACCTTCTCTAATTTGCTTTCCACTTTGATGAATATTACAGCTATACATTTTCCTCACTCTATGCTGTGCCATTCCTGCATATATAATGTTGGAAGCTCTTCTGACATTTAAATACTGAAATTCCAGGGTGTCTTTTTTAACCTTCAGATAATGTTGAAAGTGGTTTGTTTTCTAATGGATGTGCTCTTGGAAGAGGTCTAATGTCATTGTCCACTTCCTACCAGCCTGACTCGATGTGATGTTCACTCAGTTGGATTTGTAGGTTTGAATAACGAAGAAATGTTAATATTGTATTCGGATTATCCTCTTTAAATCTATAAGTGAAATCACTCAGTGTCTGCTTAGAGTGGCTCCTTTTAAGAACTAAAGATATTACGTAAAAACTAAATGGCTTAATTTTAGTTAATGAATGAATTCCCAAATTTAAGAATGTATTTTGATCTTGTGTAGCTTCTAAGTGTCTACCACTCTGCTTCCCAGATGTAATTATGGGGATGAAGCTCTTCATGTGGTTAATTTTTTTCACGTGGTGGTGTGTTTGTGAAGTGAATATGAAAGGACACTTGATTTAAACCTGATTTGGTTTCTCTTTTGGTTTTGAAGTGTTTAAGTTATAGGTTACCTTTCTTAAATAATCAGCTTCATAGACTTCTATAGTGCTGTGACTGTAGTTATCGTGGGTGCTTACTGTGCCGTCTCATTCCTACAACAGAGGCCGTAAGAACAAATACACAGGTTCGTGCTGTGGGCTCATCATCAGACATTCTGTCTTTGACAGTTGGCACTTTCTTACAGAATATAAGGATAAAGAATGTTGTGATATTTTCCTGTGTGCTGTGAGCCTTCCTCATACATTTATCCACAGTAAGATGACATATGGCATCTTGGATGCCGAGTATTGTAGGAAGAAGGAATTGTCATCTTTTGCTTAAAAAGCCTCTTAATGTGAACAACTCCATAAAGAAAAACAGGCTTTAACGGTATCAAAAGATTTATAGTTGACATTCCAGGGTGACCAGGGCTTGAGAGAGAAGACTTGAGTGTAAATACTCTTAAATGAAAGGTCTTGAAATCAATTCATGTAATGGTGACAGCAGTGTAAATCACAAGTAGTTTTAGGTATGAAGTTATTAAGTATCTTTTTCTTGTTTCCAGCAAATTCATAGCTACTTCACTGGCACTCTTGGAATGCATGTTTGGATGTCATACGCAGTCTTCATCGTAGTTACTTTATTGATTGGCCTGTTCCTTGGTTTGGTAAGAAAACATATTACTTTCTTTTTCTCAGTTACCTAGAACTTTTGCTTTGTATTAAATTGTAAAAAAAGAAAAAGAATAAACTTAACTGGTAAGATATACTGAAGTACCTTATTCTAATGGTGTCTCTTTTCTCCCTGGTGTCCAGTGATACAACACATGGGAATGGTTCAAAGCTGTGCCAGGGAGGTTTAGACTGGACGTTGGGAAGCTTTTCTTTACAAACACTGGAACAGGCTTCTTAGAGAGGTAGTTGATGCCCTAAGCCTGTAAGTGTTTAAGAGGCATTTGGACAATACCCATAATAGCATCCTTTAACTTGGGCAGCCCTGAATTGCTCAGGCAGTTGGATTAAATGATTATTGTAGGTCCCTTCCAACTGAAACAGTCTAGTCTCTTCTAGTAAAGTTCTCTACTATTCAGTACTGCAGATCCACTCTCCAGTATTGTAGCCTATGTCTGGTAAAGGTTGAGACTGGTTCACTTAAATAAGTTCACCTCTTTATGCAATCCATACTTCAATTTAGATTTCTTTAGTCCATCCACTAAACAAGTGAGTTTTGTATCAACCTCTTGTATCTAAGAGTTTGTACTTAAAGATTGAATGCATGTGATCAGAATTATGTGAAGACTTTAACTTTCTAAAAACACTGTCTTGATGGATTTTTATTAGCTGGAGTGGGATTATGTTTGTGGGAGTTAGCAATTTAAGTGTGCTGCCACACTCCTAATCAAAAGGATGGAAATATGTTTTAAAAGGCTTTGAACATTTGGGGTTTAAGTGATTTACTCTATTCCTGGGCATAGCTTTGTGGTTACAGCTTGGTTTTAATGAAATCTGACATCACTTCTTATCTTCCCCATGATCTTTTGGTTTGACTTTTTATTACTAATTGAAAAATCTGACCTCTCTTGCACCAGAACTGGTGCATTCATATATCAATCTCTAAAACATCAGGAAGGTTTTTCAGACAAACCTATTAGCTATATATGCAAATATTAAGGACCGTATCCTGAGCCCTCTGTTTCATCGGTGGAAACAGTCCAAAATTGCTTTACCTGTGGAGCTGGGGATTACTTCCTCTTAAAATATTTGAATAGTGTGGCTCTGTGACCTCTCCAATACCAATATTAAATGAGAAACTGAGCTGGAAAAGGAGATACAGATGGGAATAGATGTTTTCAGGTTAGATATAAGGAAGAAGTTCTTTACAGTGAGGGTGGTGAGGCCCTGGAACAGGTTGCCCAAAGAAGTGGTGAATGCTCTGTCCCTGGCAGTGTTCAAGGCCAGGTCAGACAGAGCCTTGGGTGACATGGTCTTCTAGGGTGAGGTGTCCCTCCTCATGACAGGGGTTTGGAACTGGGTGATCTTAAGGTCCTTTCCAACCCGAACCATTCTGTGATTCTTTCAGACTGTTTGATCCATGAGCATGTTCTGCAACTGCAAATGTGGTTTAAAACAGTTATGCTGATAACTGGTTTAACTGACTGGTTTAATTAGGTGCTAAATTCATGTGGGAGGTGTAAAAGTTGTTTCTGGCACTTGGATCTCTGCCCTTCAGGCCAAAAATAGTGATATAAAAGAAAATCAGGAGTGTGTTTCTTGGTAGTATAGGGATTTGATTTTCAAAGCAATGTGTGTGTTTATAGACACATTTTTATACACATGTGTACAGAATTGTTATATGTGAGCAAAACTCTTTGATTATACAATCTAAACAGCTGCATTTTTCTTTATTTTAATTTTCATCACCAAATGAGTGCAAATCAAGGTGGTGTAACAAGGAGCAAACGAATACGAAGATTTAAGACAAACTTCCTTATTTGTCCTTCATTTAAAAATATAAATAAAAAATGAAAAAGCTGAAGAAACATAAATTTAATCTCAGTTTTTTCTAACAAGCTTTCCAGTGTTTGAAGTGTATTTAGCATGGTCTCCCCTGTCTCTCTTTCTTCCCTTTGCATTATTCTTAGCATGCGGCAGTGAGACAAATATCTTGTATGCATTTGAAGTTCTGCTTTAAATAACAAGTACAAAAGGTGGAAGTGCACATCTTGTGTTGGAGAGCCGGGATAGGGGTGGAATAACACCCTGAAATACATAAAATCTTCATCAAGATTGTTTCCTAAGTTTTAAATAAATAAAAATACTCAACCTTGTTCTGGGCTTCTCTTCTTAAGATGCCAGCACTTCCAATACTGAACAAATTTAGGGAAGTAGGAGGCAGAAACTCTGTAGTAGAAAACAGAGAATGTTGGTTGGTATACACTGAGAAAACACGTTCTTTCAGGGTTTTTATTTAGGTTTTATCTCTGAGGAAGAGAATACAATTTTCTAAATCTTATTGTATGTCTATCTTAAAAGGATGAGTAAGAAATTACTTAAAAGTGCAGGAACTGTTGGGATGATCTGCTAATAAATGTCTTTTTATCTTTATGCAGATGCTGGTTTTGATTTCAGACTGCCTTTGCCCATCCAAGTCAAGATACAGCACTGAAACATCTGGTAAGTACTCTTAAGTGGGTGAGGTACTGTAGGTTTAAATGTAAACTTGTAGGAGGGAGGGCAATAAACTGTCAAGAACTTAGATGTGAACCAGTGATCCTGGTATTCATTTTAGTCACACTGACAAAGATTAATATGTTGGGCTCTAAAATACTGATATCAGAACATCCACGTGGAAGATAGCCAAGCAGAAAGAAGAGAAAACCCAAAAGTAATTTGCTCTAGCTTCTAGTGTTGAAGGGAGATACTGGTTTGTGTATTTTATGGAGGTGCCTATTCACTAGACCTGTTGCTTAAATATCAAAAGGAATTTGCTTGGCAGGACACTTCCACATCCTAATATGGGAAATATTTTATATTAGGAGATGCAACATTCTGAACCTGTTAAATTGTCTTCATTATTTGTTGTTGGGGAAAGGAGGAGATGGAGGGAATCAAGTGAATCCAGAGACTGCAGGTGTGGAGACAGGGGAAGGTGTTGCATCTCCTTAAAATGAGCAACACTCGCATCTTCTTGATCCTTGGTGGGAGGGCTTCTGAATATTATTCTGCTCCCTGTTAACATGGGAGGCAAAACCTTGCACACAAAATACTCTCTTGTCAGCACCAAATGTGTGTTAAGTTCCAGAACATGTTTTGGTACGTTTGTGTTAAGTGAAGTCAAAACTTTACTTAAATGTGTTTTGTAGTTGTGTACATCTATGTGTATTTGCTGTGAAGATGTATCTGTGACACTTGACAATAAGACTTTAGCCAAATCTAGAATTCTTAAGTGTGCAAAATCACAGTCTTCAAAATCTTAGATGTTCCTCACTGTCAGAAGAAAAGCCCACCTGTGCATACTGGAGCAGTATGCTGTCCACTTGGCTTACCTAAGTGTTTGATTTGTCTGACAATTATACCTCTTTGGGGAGTCAAGTAAAATTGCTGTCTTTAGTTTGTAACTTGGTGGAACAAAATGAATGCTGTCTTTGTCCAATATGCAAGAAAAACAAATGAAAATGGGAGAGAAATATTACTGGAGATTTATTTGAGATAATTGAAAGATAAAGAGAATGCAGTCCTGTGCAAGTTTGCAGTAATAAAATTCATGAACATTTGGAATACATGCATGGTGCTCTAACTGTAATAGACATTCTTCTAAGATTCATTCTAACTTCAGTATTTGAATCTCTTCATTTGTTTAGAAGAAGCAATTACAAAGGATAATGTAGAGAATGCTGCGTTAGAAGAACAGGAGGAGGCTGCAGAGCTTTCCGCAGATGATGCAGAAGGGAACGCAGACGTAAAAGATGTCTCAGATGAAGAAGATGCAGCAAATTCAAGTGCTGATGACTCACAGGAGGATTTAGCACTTGGAAAAGAATCGGGGGAAGAAGAAAGTGAAGACATAAGTGAACAGCCTTTAGCTGCTTCAGAGACTGAAAGCTCAGTAAGACAGCGTAAGAGTCAGGTGGCTGATGATGGACTATAGGGTTTTTTCAGTGGTGTATTTTGTACACTTGGACCAAAGACATATCAGACCCTGGGTCTGAAGCTGAAGCTTACACTTGACTTGTCATTTGTGTTTACGTAAAACCTCTGTGGGTTACTTTTTGTTGATTGGAGTTGGTTTTTTTTAAAGCTAACGCTTGCTTACTTTGTTTTATAAGCACAGATGCTGTGTGTTGTATAACTTTAGCCATGACAATCAAAATAAGTGTATCATATCTGTTTGAAGTCTTCTAAGAGAAAAGGGACATAAGTCTCAGTTCACCAGCTCTAAACTGGTCATCTGTGCTTGTGTTCCTGTAAGCATTGACCTAAGCAAGATTGGGACTTTTAACTCTTCACAGTATCTTGTTGGACTGTTACTTTCCTGTCTGAATGTTTATTGTTTCCAAATGCCACAGAAGCATTAGATAAGTGATACAGTAGGGAAAGAAGGCACCTTACTCATCTTCTCTTAAATGTTGTGTACAGTGGGTTTGTTTTTATCACTTTCAACTGAAGCACCTTTCTCTTTCATTTTTATTAATGTTTGTTTTGGAAGTTTATCATGCAGTGTGCCCCCAGGTTTTCCAGTTGTTGGTAACTCAGAGGCATGCTGCACAGCTCAAGTTTGTCAGCAGAGTCTTTTGACCTAAGGAGTTTAAGTAATTGAAAACCTCAGGCTCAGAAAGAATGGCAGCTAAATGTTTAAAATATGTTTGAACTTTTTAAAAGGTTTAAAGGAAATTATGTTGGTCAGGAGGGATTTTTGCCAAAGCACAACTTTTTTTCTTCCTTTTTTCCCTTCAAGAGATTGAAGCAAGAAATACTCACTTTGCATTGTGTATTTCTTGCCAGTACAAGCTTGTCATGTGCAGTGTAGTTCTGCCATTTCCCACTCAGAGTACTTTGGGCAGAACTCAAGCTGACTGCTTTAGTAATAGTCACTGAAGAGGCACTTAAGGTTTTAACCTTTGATTGCTTTTCTACTTTTTGCCACTGGAATCAGCACATTAGGAAAAGAGAGGGGCACAGGTGGGTAGTGAGGTGATGCTTTTTCTTCTTATATCAAGATAAACACATGTCTGTTGCACTGTTTAAAGTGAAAACAGCTTGCAGGTAGACAGCACTAGGTGTGGTTAGAAAACTTAAGTCATTAAAGCTATCAGTATTTCCCTCCTTTGACTTGATTAATATATAAGGCTTTGTTTTCCTGTAAGGAATACCTACAGTGAGATCCTGTTTCTGTTTTGTTGATGTGTGACTGTGCTTAAGATGTCTTAATCTTGATTAATTTTTATAGTCTATATTGTGTAAACCTTGCTAACGCATGAATTTCATCTTGCTTTGCAAGAGTAATTAAAGGTGAGATTGTCTCTCATTAAAAGAGGCAAGTTGCAAGTGCAAAATGCTGGTTTCTTTTGAGACTGAAATTAATAAGGCCAATTTGTGTTGAAAGTTTTGTGGTTCCTTTTTTTAGTGCCCATAAAGAACATATTTCCTAAGAAAACTCAACTTTTCCTGTTTGTGGTTTGTTGCATACTATGTCTTGGAAATACATGGTAGAAACTTTGCATTTGTCTGCACAAAGAACAAAATTACACTGCATATATTGAATATGAATTGTGAAAAAGAATTTTCTCAGTCTGGAGCTTGAATTTCATACAGTGGTCACATGTAAATACACTTTCACGTGTGTGACAGCATACAGTTGATAATATACATATACATATATACATTGCACTATAGTGAGAACAGTTGGTGGTATTTGGGTGTTGTCCCGTGTAACTGGGCAATTGTAGAAGCTTGCAGCCAGCAGAATTCAGTAGCAGTTGAGGTACATAGCAGCTTTTTTCTTTAAAAAGTAAAAATAAAACAAAAAAACCCCAACACTAAACTCAAACTAAGCTTTTATTTGCAAAAATGAAGGAGACTGTGGCTACTGTAGTCCAGAAGGAAGAACTGTACACCGAAAAGCTCAGAATACAGATTTGTTGTTTCCATTCTGTATTTGCTTTGTTCATTATCTGTTCATCAGGAGCTCTTAAAAGCCTAAAGAAAAACAGAACTTTAACCATATTCCCTGAGAGAAGCAGGAGTTGATGTGTATGTTCAGATACATGAACTTGCATAAGATAAGAGTATATATATTCCCAAATGTACCAGACATTGAAAAACATGTGGGACTGTATTCACCACAGGTAACGGCGACTTTGGTCTGGTCTTACACATCACCATTAAGATTGGATAGCTTAAGATGAAGATACTCAGTATTTTCTGTTGAATAGACTTAACTGTAAGATCACTGTCTGATGAGTAGGGATTAAGTAGTGACAGCAGTTTATCTCTTGTAAGTCTGGAAATGAGCTATGGTTTAGTGTGAGGCAACCCTGCCCATGGCAGGGGGTTGGAACTATATGATCTTAAGATACCTTCCAACCCAAACCAGCCTATGATTCTGGAACATAGTATGCATGTCATTACTCCTGTGTTTTCAACTAATTAAGTAGGCAATATTGCTGCTAATTCAGGCTGGACTATATTCAACATGTATTGAAGTATCTTATTAGAAAGATCACTAAAGGGTGACAAAGACTTCAGACAAATAGGTGCTATGATTTCGTTGATATCTCCAATGTAGGAAAAATATTGTAGTGTGATACTGGAGATACTCAACTTTGACTAATGCTTATCTGGCAAACAAGCAGAAAACACTATGAAGGCTATCTTTGCATTTAACAGGAAGACCATTAGCTATGCTGTATAAGTGTAATATTAATGTACTTTCCAGAATGAGGTTTCTTTCTCACTAAAACATATTTTGCCTGAATCATGCAAGTATAGTACTAATTAGACTATTACAATAGTATTAAACTTGGTGTGTTTCCAACAAAAAAAGTTGGTATCAACCTTTTGTGCAATCTGAGCATTCTCTCTGTTCTCTTATGATTAATTTTAACTTGTTCTTGCAGCCTCAGTATAGACAAAATGTCCTTGGAGAAGCTGCTCCTAACACTGTTCAAAAGGGCTGTGAGGCTTCTAAACCAGAGCTGTATGTCAAAAATGACTTGAGGGGTTTTTTGAGAACTGATTTCAATTTCAAATGGGATGCATGCCATTCTGAAAACCAGTCCCTGCTGGAGCTCAATGTGAATGCCTAAAAGCAAGTCATTCTGAAAATCCAGCGGGTTACTTTGTAAGGCTGGAAATACAAAACTCCCGTCCTTGAGATCTGTGTGGAACTTGTATGTGCGTCTTGGAATACTCTGTATATGCTGCAGCCGTGCTGGGCAACACTTGTTATGTGGGTTTCTTCATGGAAATGTTATACAGGATTGTCTTTTATATAAAAAGGTGTTACAAATTTATACTTACGGGTTTTTTTTTACTGAAATTCCACATAAATTTTGTATTTATGAGGATGTTGTAGTTTTCATTTTCTCAGTGTGTAGATGGCTCATCTGTGTAGTTAACAAAAGATGATTCCTTTTTAATACTTGACATTAATAATACTGTGACTTGTGAATATTTCTTATACTCTAAACCAAACCTGTACATTAATCAATTGCTTCCTTCTTACATGAGTGGGAAAAAATGCTTGGAAGAAGCATGCCTAGATGGAACGTTTCTCTAGGCTAAGCTGAATGCTCTTGAAGGTATAAAATGCAGCTGGGGCTCAAGTGCAGGCTGATGTGCAGACTAATGGAACTGAACCCTCGAGGGCTTCACCTCTATGTTAGTTTTGTTGGGTTTTCCCTCCCTGTGAAATCCACTAACTGCAAATTGTGTGCTAACTCTTACAGATCTGGAGGGCAGCAGGAGATCCCTCCGCATGATGTGTGCAAAAAGAAGTGTAAAGATTTAAATGGCACATCTAGTTGTATTCACAGCGAGCAGTCATTGCTAAAGAAATAGGATTTAAGAGGAGAAGTAACTACCAGGAACCACCAGTGCAAGTATTTGCGTGATGCAAACAACTATTAGATCAAGTTCACAGATAAGTATTCAGGTGAGTTATCGTGAATGGCTGTGAACAGAACTGCATGGGTTGGGTGATTTGCCATTCACTTTAGTTTTCCTCTTTTCCATTTCATTGCTTTCCTGATGTAAAATTGAAGGGGAATGGTAGCAAATGAAACCCTTGGTTTACTATTTAATTGGCTGCTTCTTGGATCCACCTGCCTTTTCTCCAATTCTTATCCTGCTCTGAGCCCATCACACACCAGTGGTTGTTCATTTGTAAGCTCTCTTGCCAGGGAACCAAGTCTGTTGATAACTTTCTTTCATTCCTTTCCCTGCAGGGAATAACAAGTGGTGTGTTTTATTTTAATGAAGGCTGTGGTGACTACTTCTTTTAACTAAGCATCTTCATTTCTTTCCCAGTAGAAAAACCCTTTCAAAACTGTGTGTGCTTTACTTTCCCTTCATCTTCCCTGAGCAGAAAGGAAAGCTCCGTATTTAAACACACAGGGAACAAATGGGGATTTAGCAATCAATTTCATTTAGATTACCAGTTTCATATGGAAAGGCCATTTTTCTTGGCTCATTAAAATTTCCCAGAGCCTGTCAGTACTTTGACATGTTAATCTGAACTCCAGTGGGGTGTGAGTGCTGAACACAGGCAGTACTACTAATGGTCTTGGCACAGGCTGTGCCGGTTGCTCATGTGCTTGCAGAGGATGCAGAAACAACAGCTGTCATTCGAAGTGTTTGACCATCAGTTCCACATCAAGGACATGAAAAGATCATGCTTGGTAAGGGCACTTTTTATGTCTGGTTATTGCTGTGTGTTTGGGATGCTGAGAACCTCTTTGTAGATCTCCCCTGGATTGTTTTCATTGTACTCAGTCATTTAAACCTCTCCTCTAGCAGAACTGGTCCTCTGCCTGGTGCTCCAGTCACTGTCCACCTCAGACTTCTGAATTCCCTTTACCAAATAGACAGTCAGGGCCTTGGTAGGGGAACCTGCTCACTGTGCTGAATGGCCAAGAAACTGCCCTCATCCCTACAGCAGGTCCATCAGCTTTGACTCCATCCCATGCTGAAAAAAAGGGAGAAAAAAGAAACTGATTCTTCTGAGTGACTTGGAGGAGCCAAAGGAAATGGGTTCAGCTCTGACTGATGGCAGATACTCACTGAAAACACTTCATAATCTGTAAACAGGTATTTTCTGTCTTCGATAAGTTTATGGGGAATTTGGAAGTCAAAATAACCATTTTCTTATGTAAGTTGCTTGATAAAACAGCTTTGCAGAAGAGTCTTGAGAAATAGGTAATCACTGGGACATTGCAATGTTTTAATAGTGTACTGCACTTAACTTGTCTAGTTAATCTTTACTGCAGGACTGAAGTGAGAAAATCCCTGCTGGCTCATCCTTCACCTAGGGAGGGTTTTGGACAGTGACAGGAGACCAGCAATGATCTCTCTGATCCTCAGGTAGGACAGTGATTTGGTCTGTAAATGCTGTGCAGTGATCTCCCTTCGTAGTAAATAACACATGTAAGGACAAGCATGTTAAGGTATTTCTTAGAATACTCTTTTGGCTTTTGATTGGAGTGCTTTTTAAGCCAGAAGTTGTATCTATTTAATAGCCCTCAGTGTGATTTTTTCCCTCTGGAATTTGCAATACCCATTTGAATTAAAGTTCAAAATGAACTCAAGTTTCCTTTGCAGATCCTGGTTCAACCGAGCTCCAGTTACATGACGCCGTTCTCTGTTAGTAATTCTCTGGTAATTCTCCCTCTGCCAAAGGAGCAAGGGAGAAGCAGTAGGTATGGGAGAGGATATTAATGGTACCCTGTCTGTGTTGGGTTTGGTTTGGATTATTTTTTTCCTCTGCCCTAATCACATCTGAATCTTTCAATTGAATCGCCCATTGACTTTAATCAGAGAGGTCTGTCGTGGCTGGCTGCTCAGGCAAACTCTTTGCTATTAAGTCAGATGCTGTTCTTCTGCTTCAAGGTTAAAGTTCAGACAGCTGATGTCTCATTAAGCGAACAGAGGAAACAGCTCATCCAGAGATTCATTAAACTGAGGAGCCAATTACTTGGAGGGAGGCAGTGTCAGAGCTGGTCTGTGTCGGTGTCTGATGTGCTGGGGAGACATTGGCTGTACTCTACCAGGGATTACACCCGTAAGAGACCAAGCAGTCCTTAGTTCAGCAGCAGATTAAACTTCTTCTTTCATTTAGTTTTGCTTCCTTTGTGCTGATATTGGCACCTTCCACCACACCCCAGCTCCTAAACTGGCCAGCAGTTTAGGAAGAAGGGGGTTCTGGAAGAACTGGAAGAAGGGGGTTCCTGCTGGAGTGGAAAAGTATCCAGCTATTGGTGCAGTCCTGATGTCTGCGGATCTTCCCAGGGCACATTGTCCTGGCCGCAGCAAGAGCTTGGCTGTGTTTTAGTGTGTGCTTGGCACATTTAAGGGGGGATCTGCAAAGGGCGACACGTGAGCAGCTCTGTGCTAAGGGAGGGAAGAGGAATGTTTAAGTGGCAAATACCAACCAGCAAAGTAAATCACTGATACCATGTGAATGTGGCAAATGAACATGTAACTGGAGAGAAAGATCGAGGTGGGAAGTGTTTTGCGGAGCTCAACTCTTTTTTAGGTGACCATGGACATTATAAAAGCAGGAGGAGACCAGTGGTGAAGCGGTTATCGTTCCTTTCAGCAATTTTTGTGCAGCTTGCCAACATTAAAAGCTCTTGAGTTCATTAAGGCTGAATTCAGCTTTACATATTAAAATGTTCAGCTACCGGGCAACACTTGGTCCCATGCTCTAGGATAAATACCTGATTTTAGCACGGGCGATGCGAGCATTACATAAATGAAAGCAGATGTGTCCTCAGTTTTGTGCTGGGAGCACAGAGAAATGTCAGTGTTAAACCAGGTTGGGTTTAAATTGTATCTGACAGTGATGTGTGCTAAATGCCTTGTGGTATAACTGTGTGTATATTCATATTAATTTGCAGTACTTCCTCCCATGAATATTCTGGAAAATGATCCCCTACACATCCTGTGCAGCTTAGACTGAGATGCCCTCACCTGGGAGAGCAGTTAGGGAAATAGCTGCAAATCTATAAGAAAAATAAGATATTGAATATATAAAATATATTTATATAGAATGAATACATAATATGAAAATAGCTGGCCTTGAATGCTTCCATCCCTGGCAGTGTTCAAGGCCAGGTTGGACAGGGCTTGGAGCAACCTGCTGTAGTGGAAGGTGTCCCTGCCCATGGCAGGGGGTTGGAATTGGATAAGCTTTAAGATCCCTTCCAACCCAAAGCAATCTGGGATCTCTTAGTGCCCTTGTTCCCTTTAAATCGTTCCTGAGACTGAGCATACAGCTGGCACCATCCTTCCTGCCTCAGCCCCTGAGAGATTCTTCCAAAGATAGTGACAATCTCTGTTGAATTGTAAGCGTTTTTCTGGCTCTCTGCAGAATTTTGTGTTCCCAGTTATTTATAAACAGCAAGAACACGGCTGTGGTTTTCAGAGGTGCATTTATATTTAACTTGATGTTATCTCAGTCCTTCAGCCTTGGTTAACAATGAAAATACCAACTCACTTAAAGCTCCAAATTACTGGAGGGAGTGAGGCATGACTATACCTGTATTGCAGAGCATCTCTAGGCCTTGGTGCACCAGAAGTACTGAACAGTGAGCAGAACGCAGGCTCTCTGCTTTGCTTTCACCAGAGAGGGGTGTGCAGCAAGCACAGTGCCTGCTGCTTTGCTCCTGTGCATGCTGCAGTCTGCCATGTCTTATACTGTACTCTGGGGGTTGTTTCCTATTGAGGTATCAATGCCTCCCTTCTGAAAATCTGGTTTTAATGAAATAGCTTTATTAATAATTGAAATGTGCACAGCCAGAAAGCTGAATTATGTACACATAGAATCATAGAATGATTAGGGTTGGAAAGGACCTTAAGATCATCCAGTTCCAACCCCCCTGCCATGGGCAGGGACATCTCACACTAAACCATGTCACCCAAGGCTCTTAAGCGTTCCCTGACAAACAAATACCATATACTTGTTGCAAAGGATGTGTATTTGTTAGATTTTAAGTCAAGATTCGATCAAGAAATCTTAATTGAGTCTGTTGCACTTTGAATGGCATCTCTTCAATAAGGTACTTTTATTTCCAGCTGGTGAGTGCATCTGATTTCCTAACATTTGAAGAACAACTAGAGCGCTGTGGGTCGTGGAGGTGGAATTATCTTAAAATCAGGAGCCATTTGCTTGGGGATGTGTTATATGCTTGAGCACCCTGAGCCTTGTCACTTCACTCAGTATCCAGGGTTTTAATGGGAATAACTGGAATCTTGTTTGTGTTCGGTGTTGTCCTAAATGTCCAGGCTGGGATCTACACGTAGAAACCATCCAAATCAAGATTTTGCTTTTGGGGCATTAACAGCATCCTTGTTTCAGTCTCCTGTATATTTTGAATGATGAATACATACACGAGAGACTGTGCATTCCTGTTACTGCAGGTTGAAGCCCTGCATGCTGCACCTAGGTATTTATTTCCTTGCTGGTTAATCTCTTTTTTGCCATGTTTTATTCCGTTCTGTTCTAGGTTGCCCTCGACCACATGAAATAAAACGCGGTGCTGAAGTCCAATATGACACAAGAAGTTGATGCATATTTTGGGGGTTAGTTGAATCCTGATGAGGTCCCTTTATTAATGATTTACAGACAAAAATACACAGCTGAAAAGAGAAAGAAGTAGGACTGAAGTAACCCTGAGCGGTCTGCAGGCATGTCTGGAAAGCTGGTTTGCATTGCTGACTTTGAGGAGTATGCTGCAAAATTCCTCCCCAAATCAGTGTATGATTATTACCGCTCCGGAGCAGATGACCAAGAAACACTAGCAGATAATGTAGCAGCATTTTCAAGGTAGGAGGAGGGTTTGAGGCTGGAGTGGGATGCAGGGGGTGTTAATTCTGCTTTATCATTAGATGGGATGCAATATGAGATTTCTGTGTGAACAAAACTCAATTTTTCTGCAACTTCTTTCTTTCTGAGCGAAAAATACAGAATTGATTTGATGAACAATCATCTCCTCTTCCACTCCTTCACCTAGTATTTTCTGTCCAAAAGCAGTCTCTAAAAACCATTAGCATCTTTTTAGCTTTAGCTGTGTTTTGTTTGACTTGTTAACATCAATTCTCTTTGGCTCTAATATTTAATCAGCTAATGAAGCTGTGATTTCTACATTGGGGGCTGTAATGCAAAGAAGGGGTTCTTATGGTGCGGTTGTACCTTTCAGGTCCGGACTCAGTTTTGCCTTTTCCTCTTTCTTCCCAGCCTGGATTAGTGCACAGTCTCCCCTTGTAAGTGCTTGTGCAGCAGTGTGGGATCAGAGCCGCATCCCCTAGCAGACAGGAGTTGCATATCCCAGCTCCGGAGCGAGCTGTGAAAGGCAGGGCTCAGGCCTGGGTGGCCAAGCTGTGCTGAGGGGGGAGTCCAGCAGGAGCTCAGCACTTCACCAGGAAATGCTGTAAATGATGGGAATTATGATAAACCAGTTTTCACTTGGGCTGAGCCCCTGAACTGTTGTCAAAACCTGGGCTCGGGTCAGCCTTTGTCTCAAGCACGAGGTCAACACAAATTCAGTCAGCATTTGCTGTCGGATTCAGTAGAAGATGGTCAAAGCTCACACTGGTTCGCCATCCTCTTCATCTCCACTGCTGCTCAGCCCCCAAAGCATCAGCCTGAGCACTGAGGAGGAAAGAAGCTGGCTGGAGTCTGGTGGCCTCAGCCCAGCTGAGCCCAGTTGAGCTGCTTCAACCCATGTTGGCTTCTCTTTCCTTCAGGTGCTGTGTTGGTGCAGCCATTTAACCCCCTGCGCTTGCCTTGCTAATCTCTGAAAGCTTTGTCCTTAGTCCCTCTGAGTCTGATAAACCAAAACAGGAGTTCTCTGATCTGTCTTGAGGCTTTCTCCATCCCCACTTTGCTTTTCTGCTGCAGAGCAGCAATCCTGTTCACTGCTGGTTGCCTTTCCATAGGCTAGGAGCAATCCAGCTGGAAATGCCTCACAACTGTAAGGCTGTAGAAACCTGGTGGTAATTCATTCAGGTGGATTTCAAAGGTGAGATCCCAGAAACCACCTTGGAATCTTAATTTTAAGGGCACGTATAGAAAAGCTTTGTAATGTCAGGCAAAGAAGAAAACTGATCTCCACTGTGACCCATTATTAGAGAGCTCATAGCTCAATGCAGCAGCTGCCATCATGGACTGGAAATCCCTCAAGCTGCTCAAACACAAGCCAAGAGACTGCTCTGGCTTTGAGGAGTGAGCAGGAGCAGGAAGGGATGTAGTAGTGCTTATCTAATCTTATTTTTGTAGTTTAGTTTTTAATGCTTCCAGATGCTGCTATGATGTTACTTGTCCTCATAAAACCAAAATGAGAGGTTATGGAAAGGATGCTCAAAGGAAGTGCTCTGAAGCAATAAACTGCAAGTAGTGAACTTTTTACTACTAACTGCTAGAGCTAATCCTGATTAAGTTGGATCTAAACTGCCTGGAAACAGGCTCTCAACAAGCTGGGTATGTCCACTTGCTGTGTTGGTGTTAGAGCTAGATGTTCATGGTGGGATAAGAGCAGCTCTGCTCTGAAGCTGTTTCCCACCACAGGGGCAAGTTCCTCTCATGATACTGACTCATGATGCTCATGAGACTGCCTTGCATCAGGCTGGTCACCTGTGGGGTTCAGGCTTACCTCATCTGGCATCTTCTACTTTGTTTTCAATAGGAGCCTCTAGTTTTAGGCATTCAGAACTGCAGAGCTTGCAGGCAGCCTGGAGATGAAGTAGATACCAATCAGCAGTGCCTTGAACAGGCTGAGATGCATTAAATTTGCCAGGTCCTGGTGTGACTGAAAGGCCCTTGATGCTGGGTTCCTGCTCCTCAGCATTGAAGGTAGGAAGGGGGTGGGAGCTGTGTTCCTGTCTTTGCTCCCCCTCCTTTTGTGTATTTGTCTTAAAGAAAATGAGATCTGATTTCCTTAGGAGCTTTGGGCCATTTAAACATCTTCCAAAAGGCAGTTAATAAAATCTGAAAGACTTGACAATGGGTTTACTCTATTAAATCATCAAAGAACTGAAGTTGCTGACAGCCAAAGAGAGAGGTTATGGGGTAGAAATGCTGAAGTCAAAGCTTTGCTTGTTACCTTTCTGTTGCTCTACATTCACATCTGTCTCTGAGTGCCCACCAGAGCACAGGAAAGCATGGTGCTGTGCTGATGGTCACCCAGCCTGAAGCCCAGCTCCCCTGGTAAAACACATGGTCCCCTTCCTTCTGCAGGGCCAGCACAGCTCTCCCCTTGATGATGGGCAGTGCAGCTAGAGTCATCTGCTGGGGCTTGCCAGCTTTGCTGATACGAAGTGGAAAGGATGCAGGGCTTCATGGACACATGTGCTCTTTTATCTGTCCATAGCCAGAGGCAAATGATAGTAAAAGTGGTCAGAGTTTAGAAACAGCCCTTATGTAGCACTCAGAAATGTAAGTTAAATGATTCTCAACATTTCTAGTACCTTCCTGTACCCATCTGAAGTATTTCCATGAAGCACTTGTGTGCACTTGCTGCCTGCAGCCGGATGGACCTTCCTCTGCAAAGGTGACCCCCTGTAATGAGCTCGTGAACCTCTTAAGAGGCACGTTGAGCACTGGTCTCCATGGACTATATGTTGATAGCTACAGTGGTTCCCACTTGTCCCTGCTGAGGCACAACATGGGATGGTGGCTCCCTGGTTTCTGAGCATTGGATGCTGCCATTAACGGTTCATTAGAGCGTGGTTGCAGTGGCTTCCTGGCAGCACATCTAGAAAAGGTGGAGCCCTGGTATGAAGTCTTTAGGGTGTTTTGGTTTATAGAGACCTGCTTGACAAAAGCAACTTCTGCGGTCTTTTGTTCTTTGATGCTGTTGGGAGAAGCACGGCCTGACTGTGAAGGATGCAGGACTGCTGCTCGCTCTGACTCTCGCATAGTCCCTCTGCACGTTACTGGTTTTCCTCCCTGTTCCTGAGCACTGCCTGTGGGTAAATAGAAAGTAAGATGGACTTTACACCCCAAGGCACAGAGATCACGAAGTCAGATGACTCTGTGACAGAAACAAATATGTTCAGCTTCATTTCCCATTGATTTCCACTGCCAGAAGCCAAGCTGCAGCCTGATTAAAAGCATTTACAGTTTATTTAAGTATTTACAGATACAGGTATAAATGTTTGTGTTTACAGAGAAAAGAAAGCACCAAAGTGATCAGGAGCATGAATTGTTAGCCCATACCTTTTTGGTATGGGCTGTGTTCACCCAAGATGATTTGAGTGAACAAGACTGCTGGGATGGGTTGTATTTGGGGGCAAATCAGTGTTGGGTTTATGAGCTCTTTATATTTTTGGCAACTGAATGGTTGTATTCATAGAGAAATAGATTATTATTAGGAACTAATCTAGCAAATGAATGGTTGTGTTGATGGATGCTGTAATATTTCTTGCCAGTGCAATTTTTGGAGCAGTGCAATTTGTTTTCATTAGAGATGTGCCTGCCTCTGGCAGGGGGGTTGGAACTGGATGATCTTAAGGTCCTTTCCAACCCAAGCCATTCTGTGATTCTATAAACTGAATATCCTGGCCTTTGTCAGGACAGGAGCTCAAAGCACTCTGAACCTGTAATCAGACTCCAGAGTATGAAATGGCTCCAAAAGGCCAGTGTTTAAGATGAGGTTAACACCAAGTACAGTAACTCTCCCCCATCTTCGAGCTCTTCTGGGACTGGAGTTTTCTCCGAATCAAGCTGAAGCTCACATATCAACACTAGTGTGTTCCTTCTAAGCCCAGAAAATCATCTTTTACTCATATTGGAGATGGTGCTGGCATAAGTGAGGCATTAAGACAAGAAAAGATGATCTGGGATGTCAGAGCACATGTTATTCCCTATGGCATCTGACTGCATTCACCTTGCATTTGCTCTGCATCCCAATCCACTGCGTGTCCTTCCAGCCCCGTGCCGTCTGGCAGTTAATTTCACTCTCAAGTTATCAAGGAAGCGAGGGGCTTGAATGGAGAATAGATTTTATGACAAGGTCAGGATGCCTTTAGCTTGATGGCACTGAAGGAATCAATCTGAAATCTCCCCTCAGCATGTTAATGCAGGCGGATGTCTGTGTGTGTAGGAACATGTTCCTGCTAATCCACCTTGACATGTACTGCCTCCCCGGTGGCCTTTGGAGGAGATCTGTTTTGTTGTCATGTTCATCAGTGACAGCATCGGTGCGTGTCCTCTGCAAACACATCATGTTCTAGCTCGGTGTTAAGGGTGTTCCAATGACTGGGCACATGCATAATTGAAATACTGGCTAAAAAAGGAAGGCTGAGAATGCGATTGGGGTCAAACACGCACGTGAAGTTGTAGGGGGGAGAAAAGGAAAGGAATGCTTGTGATAATAAGTTAGATTGCTGCAATGTCTTTCACCTCAGACAGGAAGAGTCGCTGTGTGGATGGCAAGAGGGGTTTCTGGAGAGAAAACCGATCTTCCTTAGCAAAAGGAGGTGTTGGTTACCCTGGCACAGCCCTGGCGTCTGCCCCTTGCCACGGGAAGGCAGCAAAGTGGGTTGGAGTTGGGATGGAGGCTGCATCCTCTCCCGGGCACACTGCTCGTGATGCAGCACGAAGGGATGGCTTGGTAAGGGCTCAGAAAGAAACAAGAGCTGCTTGGAAATGTGTGGTGTGGTTTGAAAATGTCATTTTTCACAGCTGAAAGGCATTTGTGCAAGCAGTGAGTGCTCCCCTCTCACCCAACTGTAGATAACCCCAGTCAGAAGTCAGTCTGATTTCTTTGAGCATGTGGAGGGGGAAAAAACCACCCCAAGACACTAATCCCTCCCATTCCCTTTCATCCTGCTTCTAAAACAGCATTTAGGTGAAGTTGCCTAAATCAGGGGTGCTCATTGCCTTCCCCATGCTGCGGCATCGCCCTGCTTCCAGCTGGGAAGAAAGGTGCATCCACTTGGGATTGCTGATTGCAGCACGTGAGTGTGGACCAGGCTGGATAAAAAAGAGGGTGATGAGATGAGGATGACTGCAAAAATGCAGGTTTGTTACAGGATATCCCGGGAATGTTTTCACTCACAGGCTCAGTTGTGTTTGGCAGCGGAATGACCGGTGCTCTGGTTACTGGGAATACAGCCCTTGGGGTTTGCCTGTGGCTGTTAAGGGCATTTCCCTAGGGATTGTCCAGAAAGTGCCTCACATGTCCAGTAAACTCACAGCTGCAGACACCCCTGTTCCCAAAGCAAGACCAGGTTTTCGTTCAAGAGTATAATACTGAGGTAGTATATTTGTGAGACCTAGTAAATGCTCAGTTACGAGTATCACTTGATGTTAGTCAAGAGGATGCAACCTGATAAGGTGCAAGGGGAAGAGAAGCCACAGAAGACATTGGAAGAGACATTTACATTAAAAATTTGGGGCTCATGCACCTGAGGACCCCAAAAAGCTCATAGATGGACTCATTTGATGGCACATAAGGGTGAGTGGGAAGGATGCTGCTTGAAACAGCATCATTTTTCTTGCACACTTTGTTGGGAGGTTTTTTGTTCCTTGTGTTGCTTTTCCCAGCTAAAAGATGCCTTGGAGCTGGGAGAAAGCCTTTGGAATGAGAACTAGGAAGAAAGGGGGGAGGAAAAAGTCGTATTTTCTTAGTCCCACCCTCCCCTGAGAAACAACAAACCCATACAATAGCATGAAAACACGCCTGAGGAGGCATACTTGCAGTGTGTGTCTTGGCATTGAATGATCCAGCTGACTCCCACAGACACATCTCCTTCCAAGCATCATAACTATCTGCCTCCTCCCTGGGGAGCACTTCCTGGAGAGCTGGCGTGGCTCCATGCTCTTGGGTCTCGTCCTGGCTCTGCCCCAGGCTTCTTGTGGAAACATCTCTTGATCTTTCTATGAAATGAAGAGATTCTGTCTTGTCTTTTTCTCCTTTCCAGCTCATCAGTTTGATATGTGAGCTCGAGCTGACCACTGCTCGCTTTCGGAGCCGTCTGAGCGTAACGGTGCTTCTGGTTGCTGTATCTATCCTGATAGTAACGTCAGTCTAGTGCTGAGCAGGTAGAGGCTCGGCAGTACTGGAGCTTAAGTTTCTGATTGTTTTCTGTAATGGAAATTCAATGGCCATCAGATTGCTTCCAAAGGGAGGGATGCCTTAATGAGAGATGGATGTGCACCCTGCTACTGCCTGTACAGCGTTTGGCCTGGTGCAGAGGCAGCCCCTGCTATTGCACACCCTCTTGTGGCTTGTAGCAGCACTGGCTGCTCTACAGCATCTGGATGGGGAGAAAAAGATGCAGTTTTACAGGGATCCCCAATGCAACCCTATTAAAAAAGGGTTGGATATTGCAATGTCGTTTAATTGAGCCCATACGAGAGATTTCAATCCTCTTGTAATGATGTTGTGTGGGGTCAAAGAAGGGATAAATTTCTGTGTATGCAAGCACACGATGTCCAGCCTGACTGCAATAAATTGTATTTACGTGTGGGTTTGTTTTGGTGCCAGCTTCTATTTGTACCCAGGTTGAAGACCCCAGGGGAGAATCAAGCCCAGCTCTGGGCTGGTGTGGTTTCTGGTGGACACGCTGAAGGCAAAGCATGGTTGGGAAGGGTTGAGCTGGGCCACATCATTCAAGGGCTAGATTGTAATTTGCCCTGTTGGGACAGCAGTTGTGCTGCTTGGTCTATTCCTGCACCAAATTACAGTGCCCGCATTTGGTCTTTTCCTGGAAGTCTGGAGTCCCTGCAGCATGTCCCAGGGATTATGTGCACTGTGGCTGGGGACTGCTGGAGACAGGACCTCTCCAAGCGAAGCAGCTCAGTGTCTGTGCCAGCAGAGATGTGGTGCAGTGGATTTCCACACCCCTCTGAGCTGGGGGAAGTCAGAGCAGCCACCCTGGCCACCCATGTCCCATGTGGCAGCTTGTTTCTGAGCAGTCTCACTACTGAGACCCATAGCATGGGTGCAGGGAGGGCTAAGCGTGCTGGCCAGGCTGGTTTTGTTCCTAAATCCTGTGTCTTTTGGCTCCGCAGAAGGAATAATTGAGGGAGGCTGGTGACTTCTGTTCCTGCACACCCTCTGCCATACAGATCTGCCCCGAGGCTTTTGAGGAGGCTGAGACTTACCATGAACCTGAATATTTTGCAGCTCCTGTCTTGTCTTTCAAACGATACCAGCCAATAGTGTTCAAAGGCTCTTTACCTCTTTCAGCCTCCATGGACTTTCATCCCTCCTGTTTTGTGTATTCTGTGGGTCCTGCTGCAGGTCTGGGTCACTCAATGAGGTTCTGCTCCAGCCCCATCACAGCTTTCACCATGTTTCTCCTGACAGCAGGAAGCATCTTCTCTTATCCATTAGGAACTGTATATAGCCCCAGTGATGCTTTTTATCCTCTTCCTTTGTGTCAGGTGGAAGCTGTACCCCCGTGTGCTCAGGGACGTGTCAGTGATGGACCTGTCCACCTCGGTGCTGGGGCAGAGGATCAGCATGCCGGTCTGTGTCGGAGCCACCGCTATGCAGCGCATGGCTCACGCTGATGGAGAGACAGCAACTGCTAAAGGTGAGCGAAGGCAAAGCCCCCTGCACCAAGGCAGAGATGAGCAGAGTGATGCTGGGCTGCTGGCTGTGAAGCCTGGTTGGGTTTCTTGATGCTGTGGCCAGGATGGGTTTGAGCTGCTGCTCAGAGTAATCTGTTGATTTTTGGTTGTTGACTGGTTTGTGTGGAGGCTGTCTTTCATTATGGAACACAGAGGAGAAATGCAGTGTGTACGAAGGGAATCATTTGTAACACAGAAAATTGAAACCTGCATCTATCTATCTTTACATTCTATGAATATAACTCTAAGTATTGTCACAGCAACATCCTTCCTGTTACAGCACTGCTTCTAGAAATTGCTTATCTGGGAAATACACTTCATGGAATCCCAGACTGGTTTCTGTTGGAAGGGGCCTTAAAGCCCATACAACTCCAATCCCCTGCCAAAGGCAGGGACACCTTCCACTAGAGCAGCTTGCTCCAAGCCCCTGTGTCCAACCTGGCCTTGAACACTGCCAGGGATGGGGCAGCCACAGCTTCTCTGGACACCCTGCACCAGTGGCTCACCACTCTCATAGTGAAGAACTTCTGCCTAATGTCTAAGCCTTGTTTTAATCTAAATTTTTCTTGTCTTGAAAAGAGCTCTTTGAGAGCATCCCGGGGAACCAGCGATAAGGGCTTCTTTGGGCTAGATGCTGCAGAAAGGTGTTGCCTAAACAGCTCCAAGAAATGGGCTGATAACCACAATTCTGATGTGAAACTGTTTCCTACTCCTTTAACCGGCTGCAGGATGACAAGAAGCGTAAGAGGCCACAGGGTGTGCCTGTTGCATGGGAACAGCACGGTGCTGTGCGTGTCAGTGTTCTAGCACTGAATGAAAAGGGGTGCAAAGCCTACATGAGCAATATTAAAAGCAATTAATAAATCCTGTGTGTGGCTCAGCTGTTCTCTAACAGCATTTCCATGAGCAATGGAGCAAATGATGATGTGAAGTGAGTCTCATTACCTGCCCTGCAGTGGGAGCTGGTCACAGTAGCCATTAAAAAGCTCCATCGCTTCTTTGTGCGCCGTGATGGGCAGCACAACTCCAGCAGCAATCTCTGTAAAAGCACAATTCTCCCTTCTCATAGTATGTTTGGACACGTTTTTCCTCTCTTCCCAAAAGGTTTACTGGGAATCCCGATTTTTTTCCCTATTGTATATGCCGGCGTATTCCACACGATGGAGCTCGAACACCTTGAATTGGTTTGTGAAGTGGCATCTGGTGGCGCTTCGGCTGTTCTTGCGCATTAGTTCTGGCCCAGGTTATGCTGGGAGGGAACTGAAGCATTCTGCTGTTCACTGCGAATGTATTAATGCAATGTTAAGAGCCAGATTTGCAACACACGAATCCCAGGAAGTTCCTTAGCAAAACTTCTCACCAATGGCACAGCCCAGCCACATTTTAAGGCATAAATCCACGATGACATATGAAGTCAAGTGGTACGGTGAGGCTGACTACAGGGCTGAGTTATGGCTGTGGTAGATCAGTTTGGAACTTCCTGACTTTTGTGCACTTATATTTTCATATTTTAAGGTAGGATTATTTCATTTAATGTGTTTGGGGTTTCCAGCTGGGAGAGCTTGGTGAACTGGCAACGGTTTGAATGCGGCATCGAATAAATTGTCTATGGGAGCTGCTAAACTTTTCATTGCTTTCAAAGTTGACAGTAATTCAAGTCACAGCTTCTGCATTGCAGCAGTGCTTCTTGTAGCAAAAGCAGGCTTCAGTTTTGTGCTCTGTTAGAGGTGGAGTGGGGCGTTCAGTGCCAAGCGTTTGGTTTGACCTTCTAAAATGACAGGGATTAGCCATAAATTACACATTTGGCTTAAAGGTTCCCTTAGACTTGGGACATTTGGGATCAGGGGGTTTGAAACATCCAACTTGTCTTAAACTGTGATACTGCTGAAATATAAGCAAGCAGTTTGTTGGTTGCTTTGCAATTTGCACAAGCTGAAAGTCTGATCCATAAAACCCAGTGTACTTCATAAGCTTGGCTCTTAGCTCAGGTGTGTAGGAAGCGACATATGGTGGTGCCTCTGCTGTTATGATAATCCTGGAAAAGGATCCACGTTTCATAGAATCATAGAATGGTTTGGGTTGGAAGGGACCATAAAGCTTATCCAGTCCCAACCCTCTTCCTCTTTGTATTGTGAGACTGACTCCTGGTCCTGCCAAGGAATTCCCTTCAGTAACAGAGTTCTGCTTTAAACTCTGTTCTTCCAGCAGCTTTGCCCATATGTGGCAGCACAAATGGCATCTCTAGAGACAAGAGCATCTCATGGTGTTTCTCATTAGGTAAAAGTCCCAGTCCCCACTTTGGGGCAAGGAGTTGTGGCAGCTCCCTCCAGCTGGGGGGGGGGGAGCTGCTCCTTGAGGGATGCTCTCCTGCAGTGACCAAGCTGGTAGAGAGGGATGTGCATCTTACCCAAAGCAGGGCAAAGTCTGGCAGCTCCCCTTAAACACACCTTCATCGACAATTCTGTTTCATTAGTAAAGGAACTTTTCTGGGGTAAAACTGTTCAATTGTAAGTTTAAAAGCTGCTGGTGACAGGCCATCCAACACAACACAACTTACTCCAAAGGTTACCTAACTCCACTCTGAGCAGAATAATCTGTAGCCCTGGTCAGAACGTGCACAGATTCAAATCCAGATGTTGGATTTAGTTATACTTCTGTTTGCTAGATATAAAACAGCAAACAGAAAAGCTATTGTCCATATAGGCTGTAATAAGCTTGCTCCTCAGTTCCCTTTGATGTATACAAGTGGACCAGGAGACCCTGTGGAGGAAGCTCTCTTGTCCTTGACATGATTGGATATAAGGAGGAAGTTCTTTACTGTGAGGGTGGTGAGGCACTGGAATGGGTTGCCCAGGGAGGTTGTGAATGCTCCATCCCTGGCAGTGTTCAAGGCCAGGTTGGACAGAGCCTTGGGTGCCATGGTTTAGTGTGAGGTGTCCCTGCCCATGGCAGGGAGGTTGGAACTGGATGATCTTAAGGTCCTTTCCAACCCTAACTATTCTATGATTCTATGATTTCATGGCCCTTGGCGGTTGTCCCACTTTTCCCAGGCCTGTCTTCAAGTATATTCCCAAGCATTTTAGTTATAATTCATCAGTTTATATTGCAATTTCCCAAAGAATGGATTTTCTGTTCAGTAGAAACTGAAAAATTGGGAGGAAAATTGTTTTGGATTCACTGAAATGTTTAATATGATCCCAAACACAAAGGTTTATTTCATAATTTTTCATAAGGTTTTCACCATCGCTGTTTTGAGACAAACGTGTTAGCTCAGCAGAAAACATTTCCATGTTGAAAATATCCACACATGACATTTTGACTTAGGTGAATTTTTGTTGTCCTTCCCACTCCAATTTCAACCTCTTTAACTAAAAATATTTGCCAAATTTGATGAATAATCTGAGCCACCATTAAAGAGCAAAGGGCTGCTCCCAAAACACTTTGCAACAGGGCTCTTCTGATTCTACATGACTTAGTTTTTTCTTGCTTGTCTATCAAAAGATTTGCTATTCATTTGCCATCCCAACTTCATTCTGTGTGACCCCCGTGTTGTCTTAGAATCACAGAATCACAGAATAGTTGGGGTTGGAAGGGAACTTCACAGCTCATCTGGTCCAACCCCCCTGCAATGAGCAGGGATATCTCCAACTAGATCAGGTTGTCCAGAACCACATCCAGCCTGGCCTTGAATGTCTCCAGGGATGGGGCATCCACCACCTCTCTGGGCAACCTGTGCCAGTGTTTTACCACCCTCATTGTAAGTAATACATTCTCCTCACATTCAGCCTGAATCTCCCCTCTTTTAGTTTAAAACCATCACCCCTTGTCCTATAACAGGCCCTGATACAAAGTCTTTCCCCACCTTTCTTATAGGCCCTTCTTAAGAACTGAAAGGCTGCAATAAGGTCTCCCTAGAGTCTTCTATTCAGGCAGCACTGCCTGCAAGTGTTTCTGTAAATAGGACCAGCTTTCAGGAACACCAAAGCAGACTGTCATGTACCAGCTGCTCAGCAAGAAATAGCAACTTTCTGAAACCTTAATCAGTGATAAGCACATTTGTAGCCTTTTCTTACTGAGATTTCTATTCTGATTATGTTGCTGCTCATTACACACTGCTATCTCACTGACCCATCGCCTCATGTTCTTGTGGTTTAGCCCAGATGCAGTATTGCAATACCCGACTTGTGTGACTTGCTGAAGGTCAGGTGGAACAACCTGACTGCTTTCTTGGCCTGATCTTTTGAAAGCTTTGACTGGGGGCTGCTCAGATGTGACATTTTGATGTTTACCCTCTGCAGTTGCTCCTAGATAACTTTCTGAGTTACTTCTGATGCAAGATGGGTTTCACCATCACCCGCAATGTGACGGCACCATTTGCTTTGCCAAATGGAGAACAGGAACATTGACTGAAAAGCTTTCTAGTTGAGTTACTGGCTGCTTTATTTCCACTAGAAAGGAACACCTTTGTTCCTTTGGCTCTTAACAGACTTATAACGTACTTCTTGTTTGCTCTGATGCTGGCACAGTTTCCTTGTGCTCATTGCACATGCCTGTGACGCTGAAGGAGGGATTTTGCAATCTGCTGCTATTGGTGCTTAGCCACAGTGAAAATAGCAGGACTTTGTACCCATGTTTCATAGAATCCCAGGCTGGTTTGGGTTGGAAGGGACCTAAAAGTTCACTCATTTCAGCCCTCTGCCATGGGCAGGGAGACCTTCCACTAGAGCAGGCTGCTCCAAGCCCCTGTGTCCAACCTGGCCTTGAACACTGCCACGGATGGGGCAGCCACAGCTTTTCTGGGCACCCTGTGCCAGCACCTCAGCACCCTCATAGTGAATAACTTCTTCCTAATGTCCCATCTCCATCTCCCCTCTGGCAGGTAAAAGCCATTCCCCCTTGTCCTGTCACTACAGACCCTTGTCCAAAGCCCTTCTCTGGATTTCTTGTGAGCCCCTTTACATACTGGAAGGCTGTTATAAGGTGTCCCCTTAAGGAGCCTTCTCCTCTGCAGGCTGAACAAACCCAGCTCTCTCAGCCTGTCCTCACAGGAGGGTTTCACTGCTACCCATGTGCTGTTCCCCAGAAATGTTCATTTTAAGGTACGGCTACTTCAGAGTCCTTGAGAGGACAATGTTCACGTGGGACAAAACAGCCTGGACTGACCTGGCCCTGACTCACCCCAGAGACCATCATGGCCAGGGGACTTTCTGATGCAAGTGTATGCAGGCAATGTGGCACAACAGCCCTCCTTAGAGCAGCCAGATCCATCCTGGCCACGTGTATCTTTCCCTGCTGCCTCCGGCCTTCCCGCACAGCTGACACAATGCGTTGTGTCAACACAAGGATCATAGGCCCAACTCACACGCAGTGTTTTGTAAGGGGTGAGCGAGGAAAGGCCAGGCAGGGGATTTCTCAGTCAAGCGTGGTTCGTCAAGAGAGAAATGTTGAGTACTTTAAACAAGTCTGTTTCTTAGGAGATGCAGCTCCAAGAACGTAGCTACTTCTCTTGAGAAATACCACCATGCCAAAAGGACATCACACTGGTTCCAAGTGATGTCCTCTGGCCCCTAACTTGGGGGCAGTGGATTCACTGATGGATTCAGGAAGAATGACCACAGTGGGGCAGCTGGGCTGCATGCTTCCGAGATGTCCCTTAAAGGGAAATGATGGGAATTTGCACAGTTAGAGAAAAATAGGAAGTTCCCATTCTCACACAAGGTAACCTGGAGAAATACACAAGACCTGGACTCTTCTCCAGTGTTCTCCCATGAAATATGTTGCTGCTGGGTTGCCCACAGGGACAAACTCCATACCTTCCTAAACCAGTTAGCAAAGTTATGTCTTACCAGATGAGACTGAGGTTTCAGGATGAAGAAGGGGCTAAAAAAGATTATCACTCTGTTCTCCTGTGGGTTCCCAAGCGGGTCCTGTCCCATGATCCACTTGATTTGTTGCTATGTAAAATACTTCATCTGGGTCCTCTAAGAACGAGGAAAGCCCCGTCCTATTGAGGTCTGTGTTCCATGGTGAGAAGGTACGACCTTGTTTGTGGCTTCCCTGGGCTAAGTGCAAGGAGGTACCAGTGGGGCTGAGAAACTTCCCTTACCCATGGAGCAAAGGCCGTGAAGCTTCCCTTTGCTAGGAACCCCAGTTCTAGCTGCATCTGGCCCTGAAACAGGGTGGAGAACAAAGAACTCAAAGCTTTATCATCCTGACATGGAAAACTTCCCCAGCCTCTTGTATGTGGCTACTGCCATGCTCTCTGCACTATCACTGACCTCAGTGAGAACCAAATGTATGCTTTGGGCAATGCTTTGGGTTAAAAGACAACCTGGGGGGAGGAAAGAAGGACTAAAAGCAATGTGAAATGGCATGAGGAAAGGCTGGTTTACAAAAATCCAATGTTTAAACTCTGGCAAATGTCACACGCTGCTGCAAGAGCATCCTGTGGGAATACGGATCTAGTAGTACTGATTTACAATAATAAACAGAGGTATTTGCAGCACCCCAAACTTGAAGTGTAAAATATGGTTGCTGGAGGAAATGAATTGCTTCTGTTTTCTTCCACTGCAGCTAAATATGCAAGAAGTGGTGGATATTTTTAGCAAAACCTGATTTGAAGTAGGAAGAAAAAATAGAACCTGGCAACACTTCAGGCTGATGTATCATGTGTTTGAAAACCTAGAAAACTGTCAAAATAAGCTTTGAAATGATCAAGATAAAGCACAGATCAACCAAACCTGGAATCTCTAAAGCTTGGAAAGCTTTTGTGTGTGTGAACTTTGCATTTGACCACATGGATCCAAGCTACACGTGTTGAGCTGGCGCTGGACCAGATTGATAACTACAGGGCAGGGGAATGCTGTGAGTGTGCCTTCGTGACGGTGCCATAACCCAGTCTGGGATGCTTGAACTCTGATTGAACCAAACCACTTAAATCTAATCTTAAATGAGATGAAAGCATTATTTTTCTATTGCTACGTATGCAGTTGAAGGAGTATGGTGTTCTATTGTGTTTAAAACCTTTGGTTCACCCAATAGGTTTTATTGTGTAGTTCCTATTCTAATTTTTGCTGCTTGTGTCCATAGGGCTATTGAGGTTGAGGATAAAAGGACGAATGGAAATAAATGGCTTCCCAAAGGCAGATTGAACCATAACATTTCCCCCTTATCTGATCTAAGGGGTTTGCAATCGCTGGATTAGCAACTCTCCCTCTCATTCATGAGCTTGTATTAGACAGAGCAACAGGAATGAGGATCCCTTGTTTCTTAGCATCACTTGATGGACTGGATTTAGCAAATTACTTCAGGATTTGCAATAACCCACCATAGCTGATTTTAACAAGACTTCAGAATCGCGGAATCAAGTTGGTTGGAAAAGACCTTTAAGCTCATCCAGTCCAACCGCTCCCCAGCACTGCCAAGGCCACCACTAACCCATGGCACTGAGGCCTCGTCTCCACAGTGTGTGAACACTTGCAGGGACGGTGACTGCAGCCCTGCCCTGGGCAGCCTGTTCCAATGCCTGAGCACCCTCTGGGGAAGGAATTGCTCCTTGTCTCCATCTAAACCTCCCCTGGTGCAGCTTGCCCTATTACTTGTTACTTGAGAGAAGAGACTAGCCACCTCCTGGATCCACCTTCCTTTCAGGTAGCTGTAGAGAGAAGGGCCTTCAGTAAGCATGGGTTCTTCAGCAGCAGCTCATTTCTAGGTACTTAATCTGGGAGAGGGAATTCTTTTCAGTAATTTTAAGGGAAGGAATGAAAAGGCTGCAATGCAGAGTTTTGGGTCACTGCTTTTGTATTTGCAGTGATTGAAAGCTGCCTGGTGGCCCTGGGAGGGTGTAACCAATTTGTTTGAATAAGCTGTTCATAAGTTTCCACTCTAAGAGACTTGTAATCCTTATTTAATAAAATGTTGTCATAAAGACCACTTTTTAATTCCTCGATGGGCTGGAGATGACGTTTAGAAACAGAGCTCCATTTACATTACAAATATGCATACTGCGGTAGACCAAGAAAAATAAGGCTTTCTATGATATTTTTGAGTTTTACAGTGTGTTTTCCTTTATTTTACATGAAGTGACAGATGACTCCAAGAAGAATAAGTGATAGATTCATAAAGATAGGGCTGTATGAGGTTAGCTGGTGTGCGGTGCAGCCTGGGTTGGAAATCACCCCCAGGGAGGTGGCCAGCACAGAGCCTCCGGCTGCTTGACCCCCATCTGGGATTGTTCAGTGACATTTAACCATGGGGCTGCCCATGCCTCGGGAGTGATTCCATTCCATAGCTTTTCAAAGGTAAAGGAGAGGCCAAAACACACTGGGCATGAGCAGCCATTGCTTTGGTTTCATTGGAGACTTCAGGAACCACTCTTCTATTGTACATACTCATCTCTCTACTTTTGGGCTATTCTGGATGGAGACTGTCACTTGGGGTGTGTTTACCTCACTCCTGTGAGATAAGAACTTCTTTTTATCAGCAGAAGTGTTAACTTTGTGTGTGGGATCACCCAATGGATGTGGGTTCCTCTCCTTCAGGCCATGAGACACAGCAAAAGTGTTCAAGGAAAGAACAGTGGAGCTTCACCCTCAAGTCTTTAAATAAGGTTGTCTGTTGGACTGTGTCCTCCTGTTTTATTAAGCCCTGAAACTCCCTGTGGGGATGACAACAGGCATTTACTAGAACAGCACTTCAAGAAACACAGGTTTAATGCTAGTAAACATTTTGGGGGTGGGACAACGCAGCCAAAATGTGGTGATCAGAATGCTCAGGGGGGTGTGTATATGCTGGTGGTGAGGAGCACTGAAGACCAATGTTGAGAATGACAGCTCCAAGACACCAATCAGCAGCAATGTGGCAGTGCTGAGAAAGCTGGAAGCCTTAAATCCATGCATTTTTTTATTTCTTTAGATCATTTAAAACTGTGCACGTAGGTCCTTAAACTTACGTGCCAAAATGCCTGACAAACAGTAGCCAGATACTCGGGGCTTACAAACAGGCTCCCCTTAGGATAGAGAATCATTAATATGGGTTAGGCTTAGTTTGATTATAGTATCTCTTATTTCCAGCACTGAAGTTGGGATCATCCCACTGTGCAGATGGCAGTCACTAGGAATTTGCCTTTAAACATAGAGAATAAAACAGAAGGCTCACAGCAGCTCGCCGCTGTTAGTAACTGCTATCAGTGCAGTTACTAACAGTTATCCTTGCAAGGCTGAAAGCACATTAACACTGAGGAAGGCAGTGTGAGATCACAAACACTGAGATGCTCTAATGAGTCGAGTGCTTCTGCTCAGAGAAGCTTGGATAATCTCAAACGTAACCTTGTGTTTCTTCCTCCAGCTTGCCAAGCAATGGGGACGGGGATGATGCTGAGCTCCTGGGCCACTTCCTCCATTGAAGAAGTGGCTGAAGCAGCTCCATCCGGCCTTCACTGGCTGCAGCTCTATGTGTACAAGGACCGGGAGGTTACCAAATCCCTTGTGAAGCGTGCGGAGCGAGCAGGATACAAAGGGATCTTCGTGACGGTGGACACGCCGTTCCTCGGCAGGCGCTTCGATGATGTGCGCAACAAGTTCCAGCTCCCTCCCCACCTCAGGTACGTGTTCACTGGTGAGATGTGGGAGATGGGTGTGTGGTTCAGGTTAGAAGGGACCTCAAAGCTCATCCAGTTCCAAACCCCTGCCATGGGCAGGGATGCTTTCCACTAGACCAGGCTGCTCCAAGCCCCATCCAACCTGGCCTTTTGAACACTGGGCAGCCACAGCTCTTCTATGCTCAAGTGCTGGCACAGTGTTAGCAGCCACAGGCTGGCTGGTAAAGTATGTAGTGGACAGGATATGCAGGACTTGGGTTTACAAAATGCAGCTAAAAGTCTTGTGAGTATCTTGCAAGTAAGTCTTGGTAGTGACCGCATTTGGCCTCGGCATGTATTGAGAGTGCTGTGTTTGCTCTTATTCAGAGCCTGAGAATGAGCACAAGAATGCAAGGAAAAAGCCCCAAAGGATAACTGAACATATTTTGAAACAGATTAACTTTGATTTGAGTCCAGGTTTTGAATATTATCAATGGATCTGAAATGCTCTTCCTACTTCTCCTAAGACTGTCATGCTATACTATATACTTACTATACATAATGTATAGAGCAAGAAATATAATATCACATCCTGAGGTCTGTCTTCTTTTTCATAATATTCAAATGGGAGGTAAGCCATGGAACTCTGCAATCAATCTGATTCTTCACCTCACAGGCAAGAAAACCTCCAGAGCCTTGGGGTGTTGGATCTACCCGTATGCTTGGACTTGAAGCATAGATGGTATGATGAAGTTTGACAGAGCAAGCTTATCTCTGTCTATGATTTCTGTGTTTAAGTACAGTCTTATGAGGAAAGCATCATAAAACAAAATATCCCTCATATATCTAATGTTAAAATGTAGCATGCTGGTATGCATATGCCCCATGTAGTAATTCTGCTATAGATCTGTGATTGACAAAATACTGTTGATAACACTGTCATTTCACCTAAAAAAGTCTGGAATAATTCTTTACATAGCTTCTTTTAGGGGTAGCATCATTTTAATGTGTGAGGTTAAAGAGATTTTGAACGTGAGTCAACCCAGAAATGTCTGAGTAAAGTGATAGAGCATTTCTGAACCCCTTTGACCCAACCTGACCAAACCCTAACAAGGTTTTGTTTGAGTGAACCACATTAAATCACACGAAGTTGGAGTAACCTTTGAAGGTTCTAATGAATCCCTTCAGGTTTCAGAGTGACACTTGGGCAGTGTTTTGTTGCTGAGCCAGCGGTGGAACTCTCCTCCGCTCAGTTATGTGATAACTTTTTCTTGGCTTCAGGTTTTCAACAAAGTTCTCAAAGCAACAACAAGGTGCCATTGTGCTCGGAAACGTATGTAAGGCAACATTCATCCAAGTGTTGATCTGCATTTCACAGGCCAAGAAAAACAACAGTTATTTATATAATCTTATCCACGGTTCTGTTTTCCTCTGGGCACCCCACCTTCCACAAACCAACAGCTGAAAAGCTGGATCTTGCTGAGAGCCCTTTCTCATTTTCTTCTGGGCCTGGAGCTGAACAGAAAAGCCTGTTGCAGGCATGAAATCAGCACTGAAACCAGCCAGTTTCCATGCACAAACCCCAGTGCATGTCCCAGAATGTGGAATATGAGCATAAAACAGCACAATGTGGAACAAGAGAGTTTCCAAAGAACAGAGCGATCAGCCTCGTGTGGAACATGGGTGTCCTTGGTACTACTGGTGTTGCTCATGGTGGTTTAATGCTTGTGAGCACTTGGAGCTGCTTCAGCTTTCTAATACAAGCACAGCCTGAATTACTCTATTTACTCTCCTTTTCCTGCTTTGTGTAGTAAGTCTGTGAAGTCTTTGGTGCAGGGGCTGTCCCTTACCACTCATTCCTAGAACCTGTGAGATTGATTTGGTGCTAAAGAGCAAATAATAGCTGATGTTTTCATATGAACTTAATTTCCACCCCTCCAACGTTTTACAAGGAAACATACAAAAAAGAAAACATGAGGGGAACTGGCTGGATGCTGTCAGAGATGAAAATTCAGAATTCCTTGCAAAGCTTCATGCAGATCCACCTAATTCATGGAGCTTAACAAAATTTCCCTCCCTCCTTCTCCCTTCCCACCTACTCAATTCCTTATTTCTCCAGTAGCTGAAACCCCTGGATTTGGGGGGTAAAAAAGCAAAACCCAAAACAAACCCGACTTTTCTGCATGACAGCAAAGGGGATTTTTGCTGGTGAACCTCTACTTTTCAGTGGGTCCGGGTTGTAGCAAGCAAGATTGATGTTATCTTCTTAAATCCAGCCTGTACTGCTTTAGGGTCTGAATGTCCCACAACCTCTGGTGCATTTCTCCTGGCAGATACTGTTGTTCCTGTTTTATGATGGGGGTCTGAGGCAAAAGGAATGGCAAAGTGTCATGCTCAAAAGTCGCATGGGAGGACAGAACCTTGAAGCCCACATTAGTGCTGTCACTGTTGACTTTTCCTCCTGGTTGTGGATTTGATGCTGAACCTTTAGAGTTTGGACTTTATCCTGTTTCTTTTGGAAGCACCAGGACAGTTGCCTTGGGCTGGAGAAAGCTGTACCAATGGTACCAAAGACTTTGCCAGCCAAATGTTTTGGTTTACTAAAGACTGTGATCTGACATGCTCCTGCCCTGCCATACAGCAAACCTTTAACACAGCTAAACTGAATGCTGGCATTAGGCACTGATCCGTGGCTACACTGAATCCTTCTCAGCCTGGTTTTCTATGTATTTTGTCGTTTTAGATTAAAGAACTTCTCCAGCAGTGACCTGGCGTTCTCCTCGGGGAAAGACTTTGGAGAAAACAGTGGATTGGCTGTGTATGTAGCTGAGGCAATCGATGCAAGTGTCAACTGGGAGGACATCAAATGGCTTCGAGGGCTGACCTTGCTGCCTATCGTCGCAAAAGGAGTCCTCAGGGGTGTGTAGCTCTGCTGCTTCCTGCGGGATAGGCAAGGTGCCCCTTTGCACAGGGAAGGGAAAGTGCTGCTGCTGGGGAAGCTTCTGTAGAATTGCTTAGAATTGCATTACTTTTAAGTGGAAAGCATCCTCTTTCCTGATATGGAACATGGTGGGATCTACATTTGTATTTCTGTGCTGTGTTAAATGGAAGATGTACCAGAAGAGACTCAAAACAAGCAGAAGTAAAAAAAATCTTCTCCATGCATGGTTAGCAACCCAGCAACAAAGACACTTGCAGAAGCAGCTGCTGAAATAAGCACCAGATGGTTTGTATGTCTGTGCTATAGGGTGTATTTACCTTGATTGTCCCTGGTAGGGACCTGAGTTTACTAAATGTGTAAGCTGGTCAGCTGGCATAGCATCAGTTATGTCTGAAATCAGATGCAACCAGGAAGATGGAACTTGCTCTGTTGGTTGTGCCTGTAAACTCTGTATACAAGCTGGATTTCCATTCTGTCAAAAGAGCACTTAGCACAGTGTAGTGGTTTCATTAAGTATGGATTATTGTTGTAATCATGCCAATAATTTTGCCTTGGAGAAAATCATTCAGCAAAATAAATATCTTAGTGATGAGTTCCAGAATGTGGTAGAGAAAATAAAGGCTTGCAACTAAAGTGGCTGCTAATCCAAAGTGCTCAAATGTTCTGCTCCCACATTTCAAACTACTTTTCTGATCTTATTTCTTAGAGATAAAACTTTTCTCTGTGTTGAGATGGGGCTTTGGAGGGGTGAAGCCCTAAAGTGGCTTTGCATTACCTGGCAATGTGTTTTTCAGTGATGCCAAACTTTCCTTCATTGTGGTGTCAATGTTCCCAGTTATGGAAGGGTATATTGTGTCTGTTTTCCAGCTGATGATGCTAAAGAAGCTGTAAAGATTGGGGTAAATGGTATCCTGGTGTCAAATCACGGGGCACGCCAACTTGATGGGGTCCCTGCAACTGTAAGTATTGGTGCCAATATACACCAGTAGTCTCTGGTTCTCTCTACCTTTTGGCTTCTTATTTGCTTCTCTGAACACATGGTAGCTGGAAGAAAAACCTGTAAATAGGTGATATATGCCTTAACCCACAAACAGTAATCTTCCTCCTCTTTATGTATGTCACATCATACTCTGTTAGACACAGCCTCCCCTTGGTCAGCTCAGACAGTAAAACACAGGAGGGTTGATGTGTGCCTGTTTCTTCAAGCTACCTGAGCACCCTGTCTTTGGCTGCAGCACCCTGCATGGAAATATACAGCAGTTTCAGACAGAGCATTACTGTCAGTTAAAGGTTTAGAAATTGGAAAGACTTTAAGGATTTTCTTTTTCAGTCTCCTCATCTATTTCTCCTTTCTTATCCTTTTCTGAAAACCCCTTGTTGCCATCTGCAGCACATCGAAGGTTGTTTTTCCCCCTTTAATATTCTTCAGAGGCTTCTGAAAAATTACAGGGTTACTGAACAGCTAAAGGCAGAATGAAACTCTCCCTTTTTCTCTTTTCAAACATTTTTACCTTTGGAAAAGGTACAGAGTGGTTAAATTACGTTATTTTTTCCCTTTCCTTTTCCTTGTCGTGCTACCCCGTGCCTTTTCCAAAGGTGAAAGGGATTTGAGAAGTCCTCATCTGGCAAAACAGAAAGAGGTAAAGGAAAATGAAAAAGTATGTGTTCAGGCTGAAGGAAAACCCTCAAAATTCCAGTCATCACTCATCTTGCTCCATTTGGTGAGGGGAAAGCTGCATAAGTGAAAAGAGAATGAAAGCGAGGAGAATCAAAGCCCGGTTGTGACTGATTCAGTATTCCTAATGTGTCCTTGATGAAAAACCTCCTGTTTTCCATGATGGTTTTCTGAAGGGAGAGGGGGACACTGCTGAGTGTTTGCACATGAAACCTTATCAGCTCATCTCTGCTGTCCCACTGGCATGTTCCCCCTGCAGTGCCCAGAGCACTTCTCTCTGCTCTTTTGTCAAGGACTGGATGTATCCTTGAATCCATCCTCAAGCATGGATTTCCCCAGCTGATTTCCTTCACCCACTGACTTTCAGAGGTCTTCTCATATACCCAGTGATTGTCTGGTTGTGTTGGCTGGTTCTTCAGCACCCAAGCCCTGCATTGGGAAGCCAAATGCCAGCACAAATGGTTTTCTAAATGGTTAATGAAGCTGAGGCATTATCCTCTGAGATGCTCTTGCCTGGCTGTCTCCAACTACTCCCAGGGACCAGTAGGAAAAAGAGACTTCCTGATGTCAGGAATTCTTCAGTTTCAAAAGAAAGACTGAGAGTTTTCTTTTTCAGATATGATTTAGTGCTGTTGGAGAGTTGCAGCTATTCAGTAGCAGATACCTTAACGGGAACTGAATTTTCAGAGTGTGGGTCCCTAAACCTTCTGAAACAAAATTTTACCTTCATCTTCTGTTCTCCTTATCTTCTTATCACCTTCTGAGAATATCTTCCCCAATTTCAATTAGAGCATTTGAAAATCTTGGGCAAGTCTATATATGAGCTAATCCAACAGGGAGGATGTATAAGATGTTAAAAACATTATTTTGAGGAATGAGAAAGCTCAAACATTATTTTTCTTTGCCAAAATCAGTAGAACATTCTGTTCAAACTATTGTCCCTGCCCATGCCAGGGGGGGTTGGAACTTTATGATCTTAAGGTCCTTTCCAACCCTAACTATTCTATGATTCTATGTTCCTTTGCAACACCACAATGCAGAGGAGAAGGCACTATTAAAGCTGATGTATTCACTGGATTTCATTGTACAAAGACACTACTCACAATGGAAATATCTGTATCGGATCATGCTAATTGTTTCTGCTTTAAAACCATAATAATTTGCTTTAATTCCATGGCTTTTCAGAGCGTGAGCTGAACCCAAGCTGGTTAATATTTCCAGTGTCCAGTTACACATTGAGGAAATCGATGTTTTAATTATGGTTTGCATCATACTTCAGCTATTACAGCACTTTAATGTCGGTACGGTTTGTCAGGATGTAGAAAGTGGTCTCTGTATATGGAAATAGATCCCAAATATGTTTGGCAAAGAGAGCAAAACCAAAGGGAGGGGAAAAAAATCACAGCAAGTGCCAAACTTCAAGAAAATGTTAATCCAAATCTAAAAACAAACTGCACTTTCAAGTCTTCCTCCCCCCCATCTCCTGGTCATTTTTCATCCATTAGAAAGGAAATGAATTACATCCGTCTTTGAAAGACGTGAATTTGTGGGCCTTTTGTCTTACTACCACACACTGTTTCCAGTCTCCTTAGTATTTGGCTTCCAGTTTTGCGTCTTTCCTAATTTTCATGAATAGGAACTATTTAGGCATTATGGGAACAGTTGCCCTGTAACTAATGCTTGAGGTTTGAATTCAGGAGGCTCATCTCTTCATTGGGACCTCTTGCCTGGTGTGAACATGTTGCTTAACTCCCTTGTCACTTGTAACTTAGGAACAGTAAAAATCCTTTCCACCCTTAACTTTATCACTACTGTAGGGGATTAGAAGAGCTCACTGAAAGTAATATACAAGTGCAGTAAAAGAAAGCATTTCCCACCTAGATCAAAATTCAGAGGAAAGCTGGCTTTTTTTCTCCTATGAAGTCTCCTCTAGATTTATTCCTGTTATCAAGATGCATTTTCGAAAGGAATAATACATTCATTACAATTTTTAAGCCAACTCTAAGTTCTTTGGGGCACATCTTTCTCTTTGTCCATGTCTTTGGGTACAATACCTGCCCCTGGGCTCCTGGATGCTTGCTGGTCCTTAGTATAAATGAATAATAAATGTAAACTAGAAAGCAACGATGGTTATTTAAAGGTGACAGTGATTCAGTTCCATCCCCAAGCTGATGAACACTGGATGTTTGGGGTGGGGGGTGGGGGGGTTAATACAAAGAAAAGGCCTCTCTGCTGGCTGTTTCTTATATACTTCACAAGTATCTGATACTGGCTTATGTCACATACATGTCATAGGCTCAGATGGCCATTTTATGTGACCCTGCTGATTCTCATTCTATTTATGTGACTCTCCAAATAAATTTGACCTTTGTGTACATCTGCTAACATGCTAAGTCACTGCTGTTCTTCAATACAAAGCTGTGCTATTTGTGCATACAGTTAGGCATGCAACTGCTCATTTAACTTCTTTAAAGCTTGGATTCTGTATGTAAGAATTCATTCACAAAATAAACAGGGCTATGGAAGCAGATAAGCTGTATTCCTGTTTTACTCTTTCAGATTGATGTCTTGCCTGAAATCGTTGAAGCTGTGGAGGGGAAGGTGGAGGTGTTCCTAGACGGTGGTGTAAGAAAAGGCACAGACATTCTCAAAGCACTTGCTCTTGGTGCCAGAGCTGTGTTCATTGGAAGACCTCTCATCTGGGGCTTGGTTTATCAAGTAAGTCAGAAAAACCTCAATTTTATGTTTATAAAAGTATTGTGTGCAGTTCTGGTGTTCTCAACATAAAAAGGACATGGAACTATTGGAAGCGTCCAGAGGAGGCCATGAAGATGATCAGGGGACTGGAGCACCTCCCATATGAAGATAGGCTGAGAAAGTTGGGGCTGTTCAGCCTGGAGAAGAGAAGGATGCGTGGAGACCTCATAGCAGCCTTCCAGTATCTGAAGGGGGCCTATAGGGATGCTGGGGATGGGCTCTTCATTAGGGACTGTAGTGATAGGACAAGGGGTAATGGGTTAAAACTTAAAACAGGGGAAGTTTAGATTGGGTATAAGGAGGAAATTCTTTCCTGTTAGGGTGGTGAGGCACTGGAATGGGTTGCCCAGGGAGGTTGTGAATGCTCCATCCCTGGCAGTGTTCAAGGCTAGGTTGGACAAGGCCTTGGGTGATATGGTTTAGAGTGAGGTGTCCCTGCCCATGGCAGGGGGGTTGGAACTGGATGATCTTAAGGTCCTTTCCAACCCTAACTATTCTGATTCTATAAATATCTAGACTCGCTGTTTAAGCTCAGTGTATGCACAAATGTGTATGTGTGTGCACATAGGAGTGCGTGTGTGATGGTACTCGAGTGTGCCCGTGTGTATCCAGTCCATCTGATTTAAAATTTGCTATGACAAGTACTCAGGAGTTACAGTTGTGCATGAAACTTTGTTGGCACAGTATGCATGTCTGTATTTACACACATGAGCTAGAAGTACACATAATAGTACACATTGTCTCCTAATCTGTTAGGGTGAAGAAGGAGCAAAAGAGGTTCTCCAGATGCTGAAGGAAGAGTTTCGCCTGGCAATGGCACTGACAGGTGAGACATCAACGTTTCCCCTTAGTAATCACACTTTCTCATTGCTTTTACTTGGCCTGGGCAAGATGCTATATTAACTTACACAAAGGAGATGTAAATGTTTGCAGTATGAACAGATTAGTCTATGGAGAATTGGGAAGAAGACTTGTTATCCCTGTCTTATAGATGGGACCTGAGCAGATAAGCTAAAAACAATAAAAGATCTTTTTCACAAGGAGAGCAATAAATCCATAGAAAAGTAGTGGAAAATCCTCAGTTGCTAAGGGGTGGATTTCATCTGACAGAATGTAGATTTCTATAAGACAGGAAAAGAAAAGGCACAGAGTAGGATGGAAAAGCAGGGCTTTAAACTTGATATGTAACTTCCACTCCAGGGTGCCGGAGAGTAGAAGAGATCGGCAGGACGCTGATTCGAAGACATCAAGTATTGTCTTCCAAGATTTAGGTCTGAAGATTATTGCCTAGTGTCTTGCCTGTTGTACAGAAAGTGGGCTACCAGACAAAAAGCAACTGTGTTCACTCTTTGGGCCTCATCCTGCAATCCTGACTGAGAAGAAGTGGTCTGTAGGAGACGACTTGCTGAAGAATGTACTTAAAGCAAATGTTACAGGGGTTTCTGTATTTTCTTAGGGTCTTAAGGAAAGCTGCTCTGCTGGGAGTTGTGATTAAAGAAGACCAATACAGAAACTTCAAAGTGTTTTGTATCAAATGCTAATATTAACTTCCATGCCTGGAAGTAACTCAGATGTTAAAATGAAACTATAAACCAAAACGTTTGACAGCAAACCACTATCAAAATGGAGAAATTTAAAATGTGAAGGATAGTTCTTGCTCACTGTTGGAGAAACAACACTGTAGATTGTGGAGATTAAATCTTGCTTGCTTGTGGACATAGTGTCATTTCCCTAAAGACTTTACAACTAAGAGTCCTCTAAGCTCCTACTGCCTACATGCTTAGAAAGAACTGAATAGCAAAGCAAAATTGGGGAAATTCTGCTTGTTTAAGTGACATAAAACCTCTCGGCAATGAGACATTACATATGTACATCAGGTATAGGTCAGACTCTTGGCTGGTGCAAATCCTTTCAGCCCTATTGCCTTGACCAAACTGCACCAACTGCACCCAGCTGAAGCTGTTGAGTCCAGTTTTCACCTGGATTCATTTGCTGACCCTGACAAGTAAAGGCTGATGCTACCTGGGAAAGTTTGTAGGATTTGCAGCCATGTGCAAAGGAGAAACTTGAATAATTGAGGCATTAACCCTTCACTTGGGAAGATCCTAGTGGCCCTACTCCGTTTCCATGAACACCCTTCAGACAGATGTGTTATTCACTCTGTTTACAGTGTTATTCACTCTGTTTACAATGAGGATACAGAGATGTACAGGATCTGCTGAACAATCTAAATCCCCACTAACTAGGAGAAATTTTGCCTTGTAAAGAACAAAGGGATACCTTCATACTACAGAGTGACCTTTCCCTAAGTGAGCAAGCAGGCAGAGGAGGTAAGACTTCACTAATCTCATCCTGGGTAAAACTAAGGGTGGCTCTTCATGTGTCTCACTTCTGCTGCAGGTATAGCAATGTTACTGGAAGCAGGCAGAGGCCACTGGAGGAAGGTTTTGAAAATCTTATCGTGGAAATTCAGTGTTCATTTCTAAGGATGAATAAAAGAAACCCCAAAAGCCTTGCTTTCATTGTTCACTGTCACTGAACATCACTGGCTCCACCATTTGTTTCCCATCAGTGTCAGAAGGCCTCATGCATTCTGACTCTCCCTTTTTGCTCTGTTTGACATATCCCTTACTGAGCTTTAGAGGCAGCTTTGTAATAAAATGATGGAATATTATAATGTGAACTAAAGCTGGGGCTGAAACTCAGAAAGGGGAGAAAACCCAAAAGGCCACATGCTTGCCCTCCAGTTGTAAAATCCCTACTCTTATTTACTGCAGAATGCAGTGTGTTGTGTGAGGGTTGCGTAGCAACAAAATAAAGTTTATCTCTGTAAGGAAATATGAATGTTTCTCAGAGCACAGAGAAGCATAATTTCTGCTGTTTACTGCACTTATCATATCTGTTGCAATGTGGACTGTGTCAGATGTCAATTACAGACTAACTTCAGAAAGACTGTTTATTTTAGATAATATAAATGTTACTTAAAAGATAGGGGCATAATATCTTATGTTTACATGTCGAAGATCTATTTCTAAAGTTTAGAAGATGCAGTTTCCTGCCTCTGCCCCAACCAGATTCAAGGAAAGTTCTGTAACTCTGTGGTCCAGGATGAATTCTGATGGTGAGGCAACCAGTTTCCTTACTTGTGCATAGTTAACTGTTTCTAGTTCCTCTGGGATAAAGGCTTGACATTATTTTCCCCTGCTTGTTATGTGAGAATTGTCTGACTGCTTCCCAGTTCAATGCATTCAAACTCAGTATTAGAGCTAAATACTGAAAGGCTGTGGAACAGTGTTAACAGAAATGAGATTCATTCATCTTGTAGACTTCTGGTTTTAAAACATTAAACAGTGAATTTCCCTTGATTTTGAGCCAACCAAACACAAGTGGTTCCTGAAATTATCAGCAAAAGGCAGGGATTCTGTTTGGTTTTGGTTTCAGCTTTGAATGCAGAAAGACGAATGCCCCCATTTTAAAAGCTGAACAGCACCCTGCCTAAGAAAAAGATCTGCCTCACAGTTGCTTTACCTGAAGAAGCTGAGAAGAAAACCCAGCACACAGAACAAGTGGTGGCGACGGATCTTTCTGTGGTTTGGGAGGGTGTTTCCAGGAGAGTATAAGCAATGTAACAGAAGCAATAATAGGCTTTTGTGAGAGATGTTAAAAAAATGTCATTTTTGTGAGAAAAATACAGTATTTGTCCGTGAAGTAACAAGTGAACCCACCAAACTCTCAGGAACAGTTAGTCACAGAGAAGGCAGAGAAGCCGGGGGGAATAGAAGAGAAGGCTGCATGGAGACCTCATAGCAGCCTTCCAGTATCTGAAGGGAGCTATAGGGATGCTGGGGAGGGACTCTTCATTAGGGACTGTAGTGACAGGACAAGGGGTAATGGGTTAAAACTTAAACAGAGGAAGTTTAGATTGGGTATAAGGAGGAAATTCTTTCCTGTGAGGGTGGTGAGGCACTGGAATGGGTTGCCCAGGGAGGTTGTGAATGCTCCATGCCTGCCAGTGTTTAAGGCCAGGTTGGATGAGGCCTTGGGTGACATGGTTTAGTGTGAGGTGTCCCTGCCCATGGCAGGGGTGTTGGAACTGGATGATCTTAAGGTCCTTTCTAACCCAAACTGTTCTGTGATTCTATGATTTTTCATTTATGATACTTTAGGATATCTGCCTGCTTGCGTTTCAAATAACAAACACAGTGTCTTTGATGGTTTTAATTGTGAAATTATTTTAGAATCATAGAATAGTCTCTGGCTTTACCTTAGTTCAATAATTAAGCTTTAGGTATCAAGGAGAAATGTCTGCATATTAAAAAATCTGGTAAGGGAAGAACAGCGAGTGATGATATTTATGTACCCAGAGAGACAGCAGTCAACTGGTGTGCTGGGTGCCTAGAAAAAGCAACTCATTTGGGAGGCTGGTGACTGAAAGGGGTTCCCTCACCATCCCTCAGGTAGGCGAGGAACATTCCCTGGAAAAGGAGATTTGAGCTCCTAATAAAGGCACGTTTATTGGATCTTCTGTGGACAGAGAAGAGACCAAAAGCAAAACCTGGCAGCATGGAAGAGAAGGAGGATCCTCCCCTTTTTAGGTGAAAGTGGCTCCTCCCAAGAGGCTAAGATGTGAAGCAGGCTTTTACATAATGATGTTTCACATTCAGCCTACACATGGATTTCTCTGATGCGGTCAGTTTTGAAGATCCCCCTTTTGGAAGCATCCCCACAAAGTTGTCTCCTTTGCCCCAGTGAGCCCATAGAGGACTAAACCCACTGAAGAAAATATGGAAAAGTGTGGTGCTCTAGAGAGGATGTGTAGAAACCACTCGGGAGATTTGGAGAGGCTTCAGCCGTGGTTTGAGATCTCAACAACTGGACTCGAGAGACCCATTTCTAGCAAGATGTTCTAAAGAAAACAGTGTGTTTCAAAGTGACAAGATCAATGAAAGAGCCTGTGATGTTGTTTGGACTTCTGATGGAGGACATCAAGGCTCCTGCAGTGAGCAGGGCCCTCCTAAGAGAAAAACAATACCATTCTGGAAAAGACCTGAAGCAGAAGCTGCAGAATGTGAGCAGTTTGTGCCTGGAGCATAGGTTTGACTCCATTGGGAATGTCTTTGTTATAGAAGCCTGGCAGTTTAATACAGCAGGAGAGCACAGAGGCCAGCATTGCAGTTCGGTGAGCAGAAGATGGCAGGAGTCAGCCGAGGGTTGTGAGACCATCTGACCTTTCAGTTAAGTAGAGGAGGAGATTAGTGTAGCTTTGGGACAGATTTTATTCTCCTGTTTGGCCTGTGGGTTCTCTGAAGCAGAGACCTGCTGCTTTTTGAATGCTTGGAGCCTGCGTGCAGGGTGGAGAATCCAGTAAGTAAATAATAAGAGTCATAATTCAGTGCACTGAAGCTGAAGAGCTGTGAAAGACATGATCTGTTTTCTTGTGACCTCCACCTCTTGCTGTGACTCCGGGACACGTTATTGTGTTTTATTTTTACTAGTGGCCAAGTCAAACAAATATCTCTGGAACTGGTAAGAACTCCACCTCCAGCCCCAGTTTTTCAGGTTAAGCATGAAACTTGTCTGTCTTACTGGGAATTTCTGAACATAAATAAACAGACACTTAGAGTAACTGGCTTTGATAAATGGGCAGCGTAGGTCAGGGCCTGTTGGATATGCAGGCGACCCAAAGATGAAGCAGACTGGGGAAGCAGGCAGGAATGGCTCTGCTTTTCTTGGCTTCTCAAATGGTTTTCAGGCTGAAATCAAATACTTGAGAGCATGAGGAAAGCTGGCTTCTGTAGTCCTGATTTTGCACTGAACCTCACTGTAAGGATATCTCTTATAAAGCTACTTTTGATGTGGAAATTTGGCTCCAAACCACACTGAAGGCCATTATAAATAACCACTTCATCACAGGACACACAGAAGTTGGCTTCCTTGAACACTCCTAGAAAGCAAGTCTAACCTTATTGAGCCATAACCTCAGCTAGTGTAAATCAGAGAAGCTCCATTGACTTCATTAGTTTATACTGATTTACACCAGCTGTGACTGTGGCCCACAAGACAGCAAGATATGTCAGCTTCTAAATTCTGTCACTGAGTGTTGAACAAAACTGTTTTTAAAACAAGACTGGCAATCCCAGATTTAGACACTAATGAGACACAGCACTGTAATCGTTTCACGATGCCTATATGCTCCATTTTGGTTTCATTTTTGCCTCGCTTCTGTTTTTCTTATCTCCTGCCAAACACAGGGAGAGTACCACATATGTTACATTCATAACAAAGATGTTTTGCTGCTTTGAGAACATGTCCTCCAGATGCAAAATGCCTTTGTGTTATAGTTTAACTTCTTCCTTTGC